GCCTTGCTACTGAGAAGTGGGAGAACGAGCGGGAATTCATAATGCCTGATGTGACAGCGGTTACTTCAAAGGTACGGTGGGACAAAGCGCTTAATCTTGTCCTATTTGACGACGAGTCGATCAGTTTGCCCTGTATCTCATTGCAAAGTGCGGGTTCGGTATTGGTCTGTCTTGGAATGAAGACGTTGGCGAGCGTGTCAGAGGAATGTCCCTCCCAGAGTGCTTTGAGGTTACCAGTAATTCAGTGATCATCTTGTCCTTCCTGCCCCACTGGACATACAGTTTACCAATTCCCGCGTAAGCTACTGCCACAAGCCATCATAACACCGCAGATGAGCTGACATCTCCTCTAGCCTACGCCGCCTCTACAATGCTAGCAATATCCTAGAGACGATATTTAAAGGGATTATCGACAAGCGTCGAGTAGAAGGATTCGGTAATACTAGCGAGGATAAAGACATCTTCAGTCTTCTCTTGGCCGCAAACGAATTGGAAAAGGGCAGCAAAGGCGCACTTTCCGATCGCGAGCTCGTTAGCAACGTGTTCCTCTTGCTGTTGGCTGGTCATGGTTCGTCTACTCTCCTGTCTCCGCATGACACCAAATGTTCACTGTCCCTGTAGAAACCACGAGCAAATCGCTGGCAGCCACATTGGGTGAGCTCGCTTGTAACCCGGAGGTGCAGCAACACGCATATGATGAGATCATGTCCGTCATCAAAGAAGGCAGCGATCCTGTAAGCCGCTGAGATATTCGCCATATGTCCTCCTAATTGCGCACAGACCTTCGATGACTTCGAGAAGTTGCCGTTCGTGCAAGGCTGTTTCCAGGAAGGGCTGCGGATGTATCGTAAGTCCCGTTTAGCGCGAAGAATGACACTATGGCTCATGTATATCACAGCTAGCGCGCAGCTAGTCATGCGTCGACCAGTCGAGGATACAGTTCTCCAGGTGCCGAGCCGACAGGGTGGGGTTGTGCCACTCAGTGTGCCCTTGGGACAGGTCCTTGCACTGGACTTTGTTGGTATTGGCTACAACGCTCGGGTATACAAGGACCCGAAGTCGTTCAATCCTGCTCGATGGCTCGATCCTGCCACGGAACCGTTGCTGAATTTCTCATATGGACCCCGAGTGTGCATTGGGAAGAGGTTTGCCATGGTGGAGTCCACAGGTGTCCTGGCATTGCTTCTACGCGACTACAAAGTCGAGCCGATTTTAAAAGACGGGCAGACGATTGCGGACTGGCATGCGGCTTGGGTGGAAAACGTCGAGGCAACTGTTGGCTTTGGACACAAGCGTTTCCCGCTGAAGTTTACGCGTCGTTCAGCTCGGGCGGCATAGATGGATCTTTCTGTCTCGGAATTGTTTCAGCAACAACATCTATCTTCATGCACATACAAGGAAGGATTACAAGAGCTCTGTCATTGGGTCTGCGGACTGCCGAAACCACTATCCATTGTAATTGCTAACATCCATTGTCGTTTGTAACAGTCTCTTTATGTCGATAATCTTGCAACGACAATCAGCGAAAATGATTTTCTGCGGGTTCATTGACGGTAAAGTGTGTGAAATGTACAGAGAGTAGCATTTCACCCCAATCATATATAAGCGGCAGCCGCGCCGATGTAGTCATCGGCATGCGAAAGCGAAATAAGCCAAGGAGACAAATTTGCACAGCATTTCATTTTTCTTATCGCCGCTCGCAGGAACTGTCCGCAAACGTCCACGATACCCGACTCTGCTTCGTCCCTGATTCGTCCGGCGTGTGCATGAGCTATAGTGAAACTCAATTGCATTCTACTCAATGCGTTGTATTTCATGCGTGCACACCACTCCCCTGCTGACTGGGAGCATAAATATCGTGGTAATCTGGCGGCTAGGATGCCCAAAGCGACGTCTCAGCAAAGTCCAGCATGCAGCCTCTACCGCTGAACTTGTCCTGGTCTCTAGTCGTGCTCGGGTTACTGATTGTGTTTGTCCTGAACCGCGCTGCCAGACACTATGCATCTCTCAGGGTATGTGAGAAAACATCTTCCAGGGAGGTTTCTCACCAAACTTTTTTTTCTTTTGCAAGACTTTGTCTTTCCTTCCTGGAATGACCTTCGCGTTCTCTCCGTTCTCTATCCCTGGCGCTCTCCTACCAACCTCCAACTACAACCCTGGGATGATGTTCAACTGGGGATGGAGGCATACAATGTACAAGAATTCCCCAATGGACATGATGCGTATAAGCGGCGTACTCGCTGGTCGGTCTGTTTTGTACACAAACTCCTGAAGCAAATCATGGGCAACAAAGCGCCATGGGATAAGTTTCAGGAGACGGTCGACGCTCTAGCTCCACTTGGTCCCAATGTCTTTGCAACGAAGCAAAATGAATGGCCGAGGCACCGAAAGGTTGTTTCTCCGGCATTTAACGGTCTCTTGTATCAGGCGGTCACGACCGAAACAATAGCGACTTACTATGACTGCCTTGCTACCCAGAAGTGGGAAAAGGAGCGAGAGTTCATCATGTCTGATGTCCCCGCTATAACCTCAAAGGTCCGTCGCCCCTGCTCTTCCACGCAATGCTACTCGTGCTGACACTTGTACAGTTCGCACTTTATCTTGTGGCAAAATGTGGCTTTGGCATTCACTTGACCTGGAACGAAGAAGTTGGCGAGCGAGTTGATGGCAAGTCTCTTCCAGAATGCTTCGATGTGACCAGCAGATCTGTTGTATTTCTGTCTCTCCTTCCCCGCTGGATGATTCGTTCGCCAATTCCTGCGTGAGTTTTATGTCGAAGTAGTGCATGACATTCGATAAACGGTTCAACAGAATGCGTCGTCTTTATGAAGCTAGCAACATTTTGGAAAAGATCGTCCAGGACATAATCGACAAGCGTCGTGCCGAGGGTTTGGGAGATGAGAAACAGGCGAAGGATATATTCAGCATGCTTCTTTCGGCGAACGACCTGGAGAAAGGGAGCGCTGGAGCACTTTCTGACCGGGAACTGGTTAGCAACGTGTTCTTCTTGCTATTGGCTGGACATGGTTCGACGTCTCCATATTGCGGCGTTTCATTTTGCTGACTTCTTGCTTGATAGAAACAACGGGCAAGGCTCTTGCGGCAACTCTCGGAGAACTGGCCTGCAATCCTCATCACCAGCAGCGCGCGTACGAAGAAGTCATGTCTGTCCTTCCGGACGGTAGGGACCCGGTACACATGCAAGCAACAGCCAAAACTTTAACAAAAATCTGATGACCCGTAGAGCTACACCGACATAGATCGACTCCCATTCGTCCAGGCTTGCTTTATGGAAGGCCTGCGAATGTTTCGTGCGTGTATCTATAAGACAAGTCCTGATCAATTCCTCTGACCATGGACCAGCCAGCGTTCCGAACACAATGCGGGGTCCTATTGAGGACACCGTCCTGCAAAACAAGCAAGGTGGCATTACACCGTTTCGTGTCCCGAAAGGAACTCCGGTTACACTAGACTTCTTTGGGCTTTCTTACAATGAAAGGGTCTATCCGGAGCCTGACACATACAAACCCGAACGCTGGCTCGACCCCAAGACGGAACCTCTATCCACCTTCTCATACGGGCCGCGCGTTTGCATCGGAAAACGCTTTGCGATGGTGGAGTCCACATGCTTGCTTGCATTGCTGCTCCGTGACTACAAGATCGAACCTCTGCTAAAGGAAGGACAGACCTTAGCGCAGTGGCATGCATCATGGGGGAGAACGTGGAATCCGTTGTTGGGTTCGGACACAAACGCTTCGCGCTGTCCTTCACTCGTCGCAATGCGACTACCCGTTAGAGATGGAAGAGGATGACAGTGCACCGTTGCACAGTATACTTACAGGTCTTTAGTTATTCCATTGAAGTTGATGACTGTTTAGAATTTGAGCGTTTGATTGACCGCCGCCGCCCCGGCATCCCGACGAGCTGCGTTCCTCATTCTCTCGATCTGCGCCAAAGCTGTATGCGTAACGATGATCTCATCGAGTATGTCAAGCGCCTCGGGATTGATGAGGAGGTCTCCTGATCTGGTGTAAGGGATAAGAAAGCCACCTTTCTCACGTGTATCGCGGGCGAGTTTGGTGTCGTGGGTGTCGACGAGCTGGTCACGAAAGTGAAAGAAGATGTGTGATAACGCGCATTCAAGTGGAAGTATTCACCTCGAAGTAACTCCCGCCGGGACTGTGCGCCCAAGTCCAGGTGTACTCTTTATCTTCAACTCGAAAGGTCCGTTTAGTCCTGGAAAAGACCTTTGTCTCAGAGCTTTACCGGGCACACTCACATGACTTACGGAAGTTCGAACTGTAACGTCCTGGTACCCTTCAGATATTCCCACAGCTTCATCATCTCCCCCGTCTTTGCATACCGTATCTCCGATCGGTCATCTTCATAATGGCGCCAATCGATCTTTGCGATCTCTATTTCCCGTTCCCCATCATTACGAGAGATAGTAGTGATGTCCGACCCAAAGAACGGCACAATTGATTTGGATTTGATTTTGTACGAGAGACCGTCCTCGATTTGCGTCATGTTCCGGTTCAAAGGGTCATGTGTGGAAGCGGTGAAGCGGAGGGCGTTGGCGAATGAAGGGTCGAGAACGGCGTCATCAGAGCTGTCCTCGCGAGATTTGGTGCTTTCGGAGCGGATTATCTCTAATAGACCCATTTGACTAATGGAAAGAAAACCCGCTCAAGCAAATCGTACACTTGCAGGTTGGAGAAAGGGCGCTGCCAGCGAAAGATTAGGTTGTCCAACACTGTACGACGTCATTGTGGCAGGAACCTGACCCAGATAGGGGAGGGACGTTAATGTCATTGTTGCACAGCCTTATTCTATGCACGATGTAACATCAACAAAGCGATGCATTGGATGACATCCCGTAGCACGCAGATACGTAAATACATAAATCTGCCCCCGTGTCCGGAAGCCGGAAACAAATGTGTAAGGGTGACCCCCGTTCCCGCAGGTGTGCGTCCAGAGCACACAGATTCGTAAATCTGCGTGATCATGTGAGGTTTGGTTCCGTCACATGACGCGGAGGCTGTGCCACTCCACTCCCACCCACATGGACGCATCATGCTTGGGACCACGTGCAGAAAACATCCGTGAGGGTCTGCGTGCTCCCTAAAATCTGCGTGAGGGGGTCGACCCCCCCACGCAGAAAAGCAATCTGCGTAAACCCTGAGCTATCTGCGTGAGGCTCGGAGTTTGAAATTATGCTTCCGGACGCCCGGCATGAGCAAATGCCGCATTCTGCGTATCTGCGTGGGGCACGCAGATCCTACGGGATGTCATCCATTGACGCACTATTGTTTCCTAAAACACGATATTAATGCGGCGAATAAAGCAATATGCAGACCTAGGAGTCATGAGAAGCGTGCGCATACTGTATACACTGTCTCCCACGATGCATAGCAATAAACAGTCCCCAAGGGTGAAATCATCGGATCAACATGCTGTAATATATGTGTGGTATTGAAAACCATGTGTATGCAATCGTTCTGCTGGTAAGCGAACAGAACAGGTTTCAGAGAGCTTACACAAGCGGCTCAGGTACATTTTCAGGCACGGTTAGTACGTGTAACAGTACTTTCGGCAAAAACGATGGCGGATGAACGCACACGTCCAACTGCCAAGAGCTATACAAGCACGATGTCCAGGCGCCCAACAGTGTCTGACAACAACACAGCTCGCAGCAGCTTTGGTCACGGTCCTTTGATGAGACTGCGGTGTAAGGCTGGCATGCGGTGGCAGTGCCTTCTGATTTCCAACATCCAGATGGGGGAATAAGGGCAGATGATGATGGGGACATCGTCTGATCGGCTGTTACCCTGGTACACTTCGGGAAGCTCCGATGCTCCGTCTGCGGCGCGCTGGCGAAAAGGTCTTCGAACTAGTTTTCTTCGGGCGGTCGGTTATTATCCCGGTGCGCTGCAGAAGAGCTATCCGGATAGACGACGTGGCAGGAAGATTAACAGTTGCACAATGGGCAAGTCAATACCGGTAACAGTGCACATTACCAGATTGAAAAGTGTTTTGGGAGCAAGAGTGTGTCAGGTCCAGGGCTTATGGGCTTGATTGTCTGATGGGGAGCGGGAGTAAATGTGGCGCGTGGATTGCTCTTGTGAAAAACTACCGGAACGTGTTTGAGAAATTGACAACGGGGCAGGGGATGTTTGCGTTCCACACAAAAAAGGGAACGGTGGGCGACTATAGAAACTGCCACAGGAACGTAGCAGGGGACTGATCTTGTTACTCTCGTTCCTCTGCTCAACTTAATACGTGTCTTTTGACTGACTGATTGTTGAGGGGGAGGACGGAGAAGCTAGCCACCTTTGGTTGGTAACCAATAAGAGACATTATTCGGCTCGTGTCTAAATCGGGACCCGCCCGCCTGGTCAATTCCTCCGCTGTCATTGTCAGTTGTTGACGACCATCAACAATCTCCTTTCTTTCCCGTCATCCACCACCAACCTCGACATCATCGTCTCTTTCACCCTCTGACAGCCTCTGACAGCGAATATCAATCACCCGTTATCTGCCGCGGACAAGAAGCATCGTATCGCCCGCCAGCGACACCAGAATTCTTGTGCACCTTGCCAGCCCCGATCGACCGACGACGCATAGCACGCGCATATACTCACCTGACGAGCGCTTCTGCTTCTCAATAACTCTGGTTTTGCCAGAGAACCGCCCTGCAACCGCATCAACGTCACCGCGTCCTCGATTGTCTTGACGGCCTATCAGGACCGCTTGGATTGGGCTGGACTGGTCACTACGCAGCCTGCTGTGCCTTCATATGCACTGGGTGCTTCATTACTGCCCTTTCATTAGAACTGTTCACTCTGGCGAACCACCAATCACACCAACACCCTAACGAGCGCGAAACTAGTCCGACAATGTCCTATCGTCGCTCACCAGCTGCGACGAGCGTTTCTCTCCCGTCCTTTTCTCAAGCTTTCCGTTCTCCCTCTCCCAGCACCCCCTACACCAACCGCTCTGCGCAGCACTCCCATCCAATGCCTCCCTCGCATGCTCGCTCGGACTCTCGTGGTACTCCTGGAGATCGTCCACCGAGTGCGAATCAGCTTCCGCCTCTGAGGTACATGAACTCAAGCGATCCGAGGGATACTAGAGAGGTTAGAAGCGGAGATGAGATGAGAAGAGGTGATAGTGGAGAGGGTCGGAAACGACCCCATGAGGATCTTGACAGAGATAACGGGAGGAATCCAAGAGAGGACGAAGCTGCGTATGTAATTCCTTCGAATATATGCGCATGTATGCTGACTTATTGAAGTAGTGTCAAGCCTGAGCCGTTGTCACCTCCCGGCTCGCCTTATCCAAAGCGAGCACGACCAAATAGCACCGGCTCCGCCACCCATCTGTCCCCAAACAACAGCGCGCACTCTTCGTCCACCGGCCCCATGCCTGCACCTGTCTCGCCTGTCGTCGCTGGATTTGCGCTCGATCCTGAACGGCCCGAGGCCGCTCAGGATCAGGTTCGTCGGAGCTTGCAATTGAAACAGCAACAACAGGAAATCATCCAGCGGCGGAAAGAGCAGGCGGAAGGTGGCCGAGAGAGAGGAGATTGGCTAGACCAGCGCCCGGTGGGCTCGCCGCATCTTGCGCAGCAGCGTTCGCCTGGTCAAGTGCCGCAACAGCCACTTCAACAGCAGCAGCAACAGGCTAGGCCACCGCCGCCCACACTTGCCGCTCGCCGGGGACCTCTCACGGCTTCGAAGGCTGCTCATCTAACTATTCAGACTGCGTCTTCCGGTGCAAGCACGCCTGCATTCACATCCTCTCATTCCCGTGAACATGGTGAAACGCACACGCTCCACCCTGCTAATAACTACGGCCGTCCGCTGCTCGGTCATCCTACTTCTGCCCTCCGAGGCGGCATCGAAGGAATTGGAGAAGTACGCTCCGCTCCTCCTCAACAAACGCGTTTTGCAGTGCCACCTCTCTCAGGGAGATCCGAAGCAAGCCGTGGACAACCTCAGCAGATTACTACCGAGCGCAGGCCGCTCGTATCCATCTCCCAAACCAGCAGAGAGATGCAGCGCGAGCGCGTACAAGACTCGCAGACGCCGCGGGAGCACAGGCAGCAGTCGTCCATCTCCAGCGTGCCCTTGAGTAGGAACGCACAACGGACTCCAAGTGTCCTCCGTCCTATTCAGAGGGACCAGGAACCTAGCCCTCCTATGACGGGCAGTACCACGGCGGTTTCGTCTATCTCTAGGCGACCGACCTTCGATAGGCACGCTGGGGGCCAGGCCACCGCCAATGCACATCATTATCCTTTCGGTGGGGTGCAAGGCGGTCCCCCATTACAGACTGCTCCCCTCCTAGGGCGAGGCGATATCTTGCAGCAACAGCAAGCCGCGGCGGCTGCCAGCCATGGCCGTGGTCTCCCAGGACAATATCCACCGCCGACTGCCGGACTCCCTCCACCGACTGCCGGCACAAGCGCCGCCGCTGTGGCAGCGGGCACTGCCAGCAGCACACCTAGCACGGGTAATTTGGACAACCTCACTCCTGAGCAAAGAACGTTCTTGCACCCCTTCCTCACGTTCTACGACTCTATTTTGGACTCACAAAAGCTCAAGGAGTGGCTGAAGAAGGAGATTGATCGTGCCGGACGAGCCAACCAGAGCTTGATGGATAACCACCATGCGATTGAGCGACTTATCGGGAACGCGGTGAAAGGTGTGCGGGATGACTTCGGCAGAGAGAGAGAGCAATGGGAGAGGAGGGTCGCTGACCTAGAGAAAAGAGTCAGGGAGCTTGAGGGCCGCGGGCCGAACACCCCTCCGGTTATGCAGGATAGGCGGCCTGCAAGCGCCGAGAAGGGAAATCAGCCAGACACTAACGGCATGCAAGTTGACGAGCCGCAGGCGGCTAAGGAGGGCGAGAAAGCGGCTGATCGATGAAGGCATCACTTTGTAGTGCTGATAAACCTCACAGCGATACCCTCGCGAACCGAGTCGAAAACATTCTCGCCTTCCATGTTATTTCTCGTCTTTCTGCACATATCTGCCGGTCAATTGTTGCCGGTCCTCCAGCTCGCTACGAGCGATGTTGTTAACTAAGATGAGATGAGTCGCCGGGTCTGTGTTGCCGAGTGGACCATTCTGTGTTCTTCCCTTTTGGGAACTTTGTTGTACTTCTTCCGAAGAAAATCTCTGCTCACTCTACTTTCTCCTTTCACGTTTTCGTTCCCTCTTTCCTCTTCCAGACCTGATTGGGGTTTTGGTCTTCAGTCGCCATTCACTTGTAACTACTTCACTTCGCTTCATGATTCGAGCCCTTTGATTATGTATCTTGTTCATTGTGCACATTGTGTTGGCGCCTACGAGAGAAATACATGCCCGCAGGGGAAAAGATTGAACGACACTTCCCGGATGCGTTAGTAATTTCCCTTTCGGCACATTATGATCGGAACGGCTCCCTTATCCCCGGTTTGGTCAATGGCTCATTGTAGCAGTTCTATGTGGCTTGACATTGGTTCTAGGTCTAGAAAGAGGTGTCCTTTGAACTATATTCCACGTCATGGATGGCTCGCACGACTACAACGAATGCTACCCTCACGGCACGTCTATCATAATCTCTTTTCTTCGCGGCGTGCTTCTTGAGACAGGGACTGCGACATTGTGTATGTCACTCCTGAATACTATTGACCAGGCATTACGAGGATACTACAGTGAAAGATCTAAGATCAACATGGCGTGATGGCGTTTGACCCAAAATCGGCCAGTTTCAGTATACTATGAAAGGTGTACTGACATTGCTCAGAAGATGGACAAGATGTGCTGCGGCTGATTGTTCGCGGGAAGCTCGGTGCACTCGTGGTCGGGAGAATTCCGAATTTTATCCAAAATAGAAGGCACGTGACCTCCCAACTTACTTCCCGAAGGCGCGTACGGCACGGACCCTTCAGTCTCCCTCTCCCACCTTCGTCCAGTGTCGGATTGGTCGTTAGGATTTCTAGCCTGTGGGAAATATACTACTTAGGACTTGGCTGGTGTCATCCAACTTCTCGCAGCAAATACATCCCCGCTTGCCTCGGTGTATGCATCTGGAAAATGCTCTTTCCTTTGCCGGCCAACTCGGGGTCCACCCTGCTGCGATCGAACCGTGACGATATCAGCACACCACAGCGTTTCTGATACGACAGCGTGAACATCATTCCATAACGTGATGTCCTTAGCCATCTTGATTTGGTAGTCCACTTCTGTGCTCTTCTTGGAATGTGCAGTCCGTGGATGCGCTGCCGCCGCCGAATACCTCGGTAGGTCCTAATTGCCGGTTCCTATTTCGTCTCTGGCCCGTTGTCTCTGAAGACCCCTCATGCTTCGCACGACAAGGCGTGCCTTGCATACGTTGGCTTCCGTCGTATTGGTATAATAGAAAGCTGGTGCCCTGCGCTTTGCTCGCCATCAGCAACCCCGCCACGGCCTCAGGGATAATGACTGTCCCTCTCAACGGAAAGCCTAGGCTTAGATACCCGCCCGGGTATGTTACTGAGCAAGGAAGAAACGCCCCTTACTTCACACCGGTCCCTTTCGATGGGTCGCTTCTTGTTGGAGAGTTCATTGATTGGTGAGTATCGTATTGGTCACCTGCCATTGCGAGCTCCTGCTGATGACGTTACCTAGGCACCGAGAACATAGCGCACGTCACAACTACTGCATTCTCGTTGAGGATGGAGACCAAGAAAATGTGCCCGTTACGTACAGTGAATGCACGTATACCTGCCTTGATCATCAAACCCTTGTGTTAAAGTAGAGCTTTACAGTTGCTCATGCCGTCCATCGAGTTGCACGGCTAGTTTACGATGCAGTCCCAGGTGGATCGGCCACTGCAAATGGGATGCCGAAGACCGTCGCGCTTCTTTCCAATGCTGATGTTTTGACGTACAACACTCTGATGCTGGGTATCATGAGAGCTGGTTTCGAGGTACGCTCATCACGATCTCAACACCGCCGAAGCGTCTGATAGCCATATAGGTATTTCCTATTTCGAATCGCAATTCAGAGGCTGGCATCAAGCATCTTATTACTGCCGTCGATGTACATTACCTAGTTGGGTCTATTGGTGGCGATGGCAAACCTCCGACTGCGCTGCAGACTGCTATCCAGCATGTGATAAAGGGGCTGAAGGAAGACAAATACGAGTTCACCCTCATCCCAGAACCACAATTCAGTGAAATTTACCCTCGACTCGCTCATCGTCCTATGCCGGCATACGATGAAGTTGCAGACGCTGAGAATACTACTCTGATGCCACCTTTGTCCACAATGCCTTCATTTCTCAACGCAGATATTCATACTCATCCATGCTTGATCATGCATTCGTCCGGAAGTACGAAATTTCCGAAGCCCATTCGCCAGAATCAGCAGGCTATGCGCCATTGGATCAGCTGGCCCTGGTACGGAGATGCTGACATAGGTGGATCTGTGGCTTCCATCGTTGGACTGCCTGTGAGCAGAAGATGCTGACGCCTGTCCTTATTTTGACTAACCAAAATGACTAGGGTTTCCATGCTGGGGGCATCACATTTGGGGTGAGATTCGTACTGTCAACTCGATATTAATCCGCTGATCAGGCTTCGATGACAGATTGGGCATCCGTTGGGGTGTGAGTACTTCCCGCAATAGACGCGTTGAGCCTAAACACTGGATACAGGTGGTGTCGTTGTAACCCACTTTATGCCGCAAGAGCCTGCCATCCAGGCCAACGCAGATACGGCTCTTTTTAGCTTCAAGAAATCAAATTGCGACTGGTGTTTTGGAATCCCTGCATTCTTGGATGTAGGTCACATCCTTATGACAGGAGAACTTCACTGAATATGCCGCAGTCATACTCTAATGACCCAGAGATTATCAGTTTCTTAGCCACCAAATCAGCCGTCGTAAGTTCTGGTAACTTCCCAGTGGAGCCACGTTTCGATCATTACCAGGTGTTTGGATCATCGCCCCTCCCCGAAGAGGCTGGCGACCGTCTGGTGGCGGGCGGTGTTAACCTCGTCAATATATACGGCGCAACGGAGACGAATATCGTGTCGCGCATGTCGCTCGAGAAACGAACTGATTGGCTTGTGAGTGCCCATGCACTGCAGAAATAATAACGCGAGACTGACGATCCTCCCAGTACACGGAAATTTCTCCGATGACCAATCATAGGCTTCAACCAGATGATGAAACTGGCGAGGTCTATCGTCTTGTATTTGAGGTGCTAATTCTTGCCTTCACATTTTTCTCGCTGAGTAACTCGTTACTCAGGCAAATGATCACTATAGTCCAGCTGTATATAATCTTCCGGGCGAACGTGCCTATGATACATATGATGTCGCCATTCCCCACCCAACGCGGAAGAATCGTTATCGCATTCTCGGGAGATCTGATGACCAGATTATGCATTCCACAGGAGAAGTGAGTCATAAGTATGTATGCTGTCCTGTCCCTTGTTCTAATATTTTGCAGAAAACAAACCCGGGACCTCTGGGTACGTTACAATCTCACTGTCGCAGAACAAGATTGATGTGTTCTTCAGAGAATATCATTCTTGGATCTCCATTGATCAAATCTGCCGTATACTTTGGCAGAGCTCGCACACAGGCTGGGGTTATCATCGAACCGTTTATACCTGTGAAGGACCGATCTGAAGATGCAATTGCGGCATTCCGCAACAAGATCTGGCCGTATATTGAGCGTGCCAATCAGTTCGGTCCATCCCATTCGCGAGTCTTCAAGGAGTATGTGTTGGTAGCCGATTCTAGCAAGCCTCTCGCCAGAACACCAAAAGGCTCGATTGCGAGAAGCATGGTCTTGGCTGAGTATGAACAGGAAATCGAGCAGGTCTGTAGACGCCTACGCTGATTTTCATTGATGCAGCTGAATCGTTCATCGTATAGATATATCAAACTGTACAACGGTACAACCAGTATGAATGGGCGCAACCCCCAACCTCTTGGGACAAAAATGGCATCTATAAATTTGTTGCCAGAGTCGTTAACGGCGTCATGGAAGAGCGTACGAAGGAGCCAGTGGACCCTCAGCGTGATCTGTTCGAGCAGGGCTGCGATAGGTGTGTCGATACCACTTGATTGCGTCACAAGCGACTAAGTCTGAATGTAGCCTCCAAGCAACTTTAATTCGCAACAGTATCATCAATGCCTTACGACACCGGACATCGCTAATGCGAAATGGTGATGCAGAGAGACAACCAGATCTTGCACGGAATATTCCTCAAAGTGTGGTCTTCATGCACTCGACAATCTTGAGCCTTGCCGCATTTGTGACAAACCTGGTCCATGGCACCGTCGAATCAGCCCAGCAAAACGACGACGTCACCAAGATGCTGGGTTTGCTGGCCAAATATAACACCGGATTCCTCCCCAAGGTCCCAGCTAAAGCTCCTCAGAACGGGGTGCTCACCTCAAGTCATGTGAATGGAGATGCTGGCAAAGAATGTGTTCTTCTGACCGGCTCTACTGGTACATTGGGCGCTTACCTTCTCTCGTCACTGCTGTTGAACAACCGAGTCGAGAAAGTCTACGCGTTCAACCGCTCTAGCAAGGCCAAAACCATCGGCAAACGACAACTGGAGGCGTTTGTAGATCGTGGAATCCCTGACAAATTCGCCCATCACCCCAAGCTTGTCTTGATTGAGGGGGACTCGGCAGAAGACGGTTTGGGGATTGACACCTCCCTCTATGACGAGGTACAGAGCTTCGTATGCATAGGTGTCCTGTCCCACTAACTCTTGTGTGGCAGATGTTGGCTTCCGTTACGTGTATTATTCACAATGCGTGGCGCCTAGACTTCAATATGGGCGTACAATCTTTCGAATCGCATATTCGAGGATCTAGGAACCTCATCGACTTCGCGCTGAAATCACAGAGGGCAGAACGCCCTCAATTTCTCTTTACCTCATCGATTGGCACTGTAGCAAATTGGAAGCTTCCTGGCGCGGTCCCGGAGGAACCATTAGATGCAGAGGTTGCGCTTGGAACTGGGTATGGCGAAAGCAAGTGGGTGGTCGATCGTGTTCGTCGTCAATGTGCAACGAAGATGTGGTGTATACTGACACCTAAATTAGATCATGATTGAAGCCTCTAAACAGAGAGGCCTGAGGACTACGACTTTCCGCATTGGCCAACTTGCGGGCTCGATGATTAATGGCGCGTGGAACACAACCGACTGGGTCCCACATATCGTGAAAGCGGCATGTATATTGGGTTCTCTCCCCTTGATGGATGATGACTCTGTGGTTTCCTGGCTGCCGGCCGACGCAGCTGCATTGTCGGTACGGCTTCAAAGAAATAGACTCATGGATATAGTATTGAACTACCAGCAGATTGTACAGGCTATGGAAGCTGCCACGCCCGGCAACCGAACCCTACACGTTTGCCATCCTTACCCAACCACTTGGAATTTCGTCATGGAGACCATTGCGGATTATCTCATTGGCAAAGGTATCCGTCTCGACCTTGAGCCGTATCCTATCTGGTTTGGCAAGCTTGAAGCTTCAGGGACAGGAGCTACTAGTTTGCAGAAAAATCCGGCTCTCAAGCTCTTGGACTTCCTTCGACCCGGTATACAGGAGCATTCAAGTGACAAGGAGGCCATGGGCTTCCCTCTTATCTCCACGACGAAGATGCAAGCGACCTCAAATACTCTGAAGGACCTGCCGAGGTTGGATCAGACCGAAATCAAGCGGTGGATGGAGTACTGGGATTCTCATGGGGTATTTGAATAGATCCTTATGCAATACAGCAATCGTGACTAGTCTGGTAAGTAATAATGTTCCTTGGATGAACCTGGTGACAGTTGGGAACAATAAACTGCACAATCTACGATTAGCTCGTAAATTTTCGAGACACTCGAAAGATGCACCTTGCAAACAGTTTGAACAACTCATGTCGATCTTCTTGTAAATTTCAAGGAAAGCCGAGTCATACCCAATCCGATAAAGCTCTCCGTATTCTTCTCTCGATCAGCGAGCCACTCTTCAGAGCTTTGGCCCTCCTTAAAAATAGGTTCGATATGATAATCTCGAAGGAGGAGGGAGAGAAGTCCAACAGATTCTACCAACGCAAACTTTCTCCCGATACACACGCGTGGACCCCAGGAGAAGTTGAACGCAGGTTCCGTGGCTGGATCTAGCCACCGTGCTGGATTGTATGTATATGGTGACGGATAGCAACGCTCGTTGTATCCGACCCCTGCCCAGTCAACCCACATGTATTGGCCTGCCTTTACTGGAATAGAGATAGTACTGCCATCAGCGCTCGGGACGGACAATACAGTGTCACTGACAGGCGAGCGAATCACACCCGGAGAACTTGCTAGAGATCAAGTTAATTATGATCGTTCCCAATGAAAGGAACCGCTTACGCCACATTCTCAGGGCCTCTGAGAAACAGCCATTAACAAAGGGTAGACGTCCGTAGTCATCATAAGCCTTTGTTAAGTGAGGTTCGGTCATTGTCCTAGAGTGGCACCACCGACGAGTTCATTCCTCTCCCCTAATACTGACTTGACTTCATCATAGGCCTTTTGCTGTTCTTTCGGATTGCATGCAAGGAGAGCAAGAGTTGCAGCAAGCGCTCGGCTTGTTGTTTCTGCAGCTCTTGCGTGAATATGAATATTCGGCCCAAGTGAGTCACGTACCATGTCCCATGTCCAGCCAGCAGCAATACAAACACATTGCTGACAAGCTCTTCATCAGAAAGAAAAGATTTGCTGCCCTTCTCGGCATCATTTGCTTTCAGAAGCAAAGCGAAAATGTCCTTGTAACCGCTGTCTTCCTTTGGACCTTCAGAGCGACGCTTGTCGATAATTCCCTGCAGAATGATTTCCAGTGCCTCCTTTGCGACTTTTAAACGGCGAAGCCTGTACGATCAAGAGTGTAAACGCGGACGTATTTCTGCTAGAGAGAAACACCCTAACGCTTTAAATGGCAAATTAAACCTCCAGCGCGGGAGCATAGACAGAAAGGTCACAGATTAGCTTGTTACTTGAAAGCAGTCTGGCATCGTCAAGCCGTTGACCTTCTCTCCAACAGACTCATTCCATGCTAGATCTATACCAAAGCCACTTTTGGCAAAAAGATAGAGGGCAAACTGCGAGTGGTCAGTATGTATACAGGAGGAGAAAACAGGGCGTAGTGACCTTGCCCGTAATTGCCGGCACATCGGGCATAATGAAGCTCCTCTCCTTATCCCAAATCAGGCAATCGTAGTAGGTTTTAGCAGTTTCGCTCCAAACTTCTTGATACCTGGATCATAGGTCAGCGCTGTTCTTCAAAGACATGCGCAAACCTACAGTTCGTTCGGAGCAAACGCAGGCTAAACAATACGCCTGTGTCGAGGCCAGTTCGCCTGGGTGGTGGCAGCGACGTTCGGGCCAAACGGTCTGAAGCGCTTTGAGCATATACACTCCATGTCAGGGAGCAAGCCTCACGCAATACCGCCAATGGTCAATTCGTCCTTGTCCCATACGGTTTTGTTGCCAAGGATCTGCTTCATTACATGAGGGGAGTTGGTCATCAGCAGGGGTGCGCCTCCGAGCCACCCGACTTGGGAAGCGATTTCGGCCTTGCTGTTTTTGTACACTTTTAGGCCAAACAGTCAGAACGCGCTGGGGATAAAATGGGTAAACCTTACCCGTTCGACGGTTGGCCCAGAAGGGGTACCCTCCTGGACCGGGCGTGTATCGGCTGGCAGGAAACAGGGCTCCGCTGATGGACATCGTTGTGAAAAGATAGCGCAGGCCGGGGAGGTAGGAGACTGCCTGTTCGGGAGATGTCATCATGACTTGAAGATATTGGGAGACAGACGAACCGCCAGTGAACGCCAGTACCCAACAGCACGTTCCACTACCAGGAGCAGAACGCCGGTTCCCAGCAGGACTGGCCATGACAAGGACGTCACGAGGGAGAACATTTTGGGTAGGACAGAGTGCTGCCCAGGTTAGGAACGAGGAAAGTGTTAAATGTACGTCTGAATGACCTCATGATAAATATCGCCGGCAGGTGATTCAAATCTTGTCCCGTTTCGTGCCCGGCTGAAACACCGTGGCTGACTTGGAACTTAAAAGGCCCAGGCGTTCCAGATGAATCGAATTCAATTGTTGACGCACGCTGCAATAGGAATTTCAGGGCTTGGTACGCTCCCTGCTAGTCATAAGTGGGATTTGCGGACTTGCAGGAAGAGTTGGCACAGCCCTGGAGATATTCAGCTTTCATTGATTACGGAGAGGTGTCAATATTGGTATCCACACCGCATTTCACCACACTCAGGCTAGACTTTAACGCCCGTATGTATGCTCGCGATGCCCCCAAACAGACCTCTCCATGCTCCACCCTTGCCGTCCTTATCCTCCCCAGTAGTGAACCCTGCGTCTCGAATCATCTGCGCAAACTCGGGTTGGGTGGGAAACTTCCGAATAGACTCGACGAGGTACTGATAGCTTTCCCGGTCTCCGGCGAGGATGGTGCCAAGCAGGGGGATGATAGAGAATGAATAGTCATCGTATACCCTTGGATACCGTACATTAGCACATGGCACATGCGCATATAGGAACGTAAGATAAGACGTACCGCCGGAATAGGGGGTTGATAGGTATGGAGAATTCCAGGCAGGCAAACACTCCCCCTGGCTTGAGCACACGGTACGCTGACTTGAGCACGTCGGGGATTGAGGTGCAGTTCCTGATCCCGAATGCGATTGTGTACAGGTCTGCCGAGTCAGAGGGGAAGGTATCCTCCGGCAGCTCCTGGGCGTTCGCTACCACGAAGTCGATTTGGGGGGCTACAAAAGTCGTGATCAGTACACGCAACTCCTGGCAGAGGACGGCGCACTGTTATGATACATGGTCTTCTTGAACCTCGTCCGGCCCTCTTGCAGCATCTCCGGGTTCAAGTCTACCATAGTGACCGTCGTCTCCCTATCCGCATATTTTTCACGTGCGTGGTCTAGGATACGGAGGGCGATGTCCCCCGTCCCACCGGCAACGTCGAGGACGTTCAGTGGTCCGCGCCTGCCGGGGTCAAGCGAGTGCCGTACGAAGTCGTCTTTCCACAACCGGTGGGTGTAGAGAGACATCGCGTCGTTCATGAGGTCGTAACGCGATGCAACGTTAGAGAACACAGACTGGACTGTACGTGCTTGTTAGCAAGAGTAAGTTGCAATCGTAAGGCAAGACATACCCATTGGCTCCTTCTCGCTCGTCTCGACAGTTCTAAACCCAAAATGGGTTGTGTTCTCCTCTTTCGGACTCGCGGTCGCATACAGACGACGACATGATGGCCCGGCGATGATGGGCAGTCGTCTGCTCGCTGACCTGCACGGTCGCAGTGCGGCTTTTGTGTTGTTCATCGTTTGGGTTCAACGCGTTGACAGAAGCAAGATGTTAGGGACTTGTATTCGGAGTGGTTGTTGTGTGCTCCGCTTCTCCGGGCTTTCTCTGACAAAATCGTCTATTCCAAATATTAGAACAATGGGTAGCTCAAAGATGTAGTAATACCTTTATTTTATATTTCCTAAATACAACCAACATAAAACAACTGATAACCCAATAAACTAATTCCACCAGGAGCAACGAAGGAAACGGAAACCGGCGTTCCCCGATTGGGTCGTGCCTTTCCTTAACTGGTTCCGCACTCCTCCTCGACCTCTCACTAGACGGGCGTCATCCTCTCTCCTCTCCTCCTCGCCCAACAGCCCAACATGTTCCGTCACCCTATACGGGTCAACCTGCCACGGTCGGCAGTCTCTGTGCTCAAGGTGGGATTCAACAGCATTCTCAAGTGTATGCTAATGCTACAAGTAGCGAGGAGCCCACGACCTGCTCACTTACTCCAATCGCCCTCCCGCACTGCGCAAAGGAATCGAAGGCCGCAGCGCCATCTCAGGCCATACAATAACAGTATTTGGCGCTTCTGGCTTCCTAGGAAGGTACATCGTCTCCAAGCTTGGTGCGTTCTACTGTCCTTTCGTTCCAGGCCGACTAGCCTGACCTCTGGATAGCAAAAAGCGGGAGCAGCGTTGTAATTCCCTACCGGGACGACTACGATATCCGCCACTTGCGGGTGTCTGGAGACTTGGGTGCAGTGGTTCAGCTGGTGAGCGATGATCGTGAGCCTGATGGATGGTGGAGAGGGGCTGATAAGCTTAGGAATGGGATTTGAGGAACGAGCAACAGATCGCCGAGTGCTTGCGCCACTCTGATACGGTTTACAACCTCGTTGGGCTGGATTACGAAACCAAGTGAGCTTCCCCACCATCGGTCTTCTCAAATTCTCACGCTGTTCAGGAACTTCAAGTGGAAAGACGTGCACGTCGATGGCGCAGCCCGCATCGCACGCATCGCAAGGGAGAACAACGTCGCCCGGTTCGTCCAAGTGTCGCACCTGAACGCCTCTCCCACCAGCACGAGCCACTACTACAGAGCGAAGTACGAGGGGGAGCAGGCCGTGTTGGGCGAGTTCCCGGACGCGGTCATCGTACGTCCTAGTGCAATGTACGGGCATGAAGACAGGTTCTTGAACCAACTGGGATGTGAGTCTGCTTGAGTTTAGGAGTGGGATTGCGCTGATGCTAATAGTCTGGGATATGACGTTCAAGTTCAATGGCGAGCAGACCAAGGTCCGACCTGTGCATGTATGCCCCTCCTCTCGCTTTGTTGTCTCGGTATCTCACAGAATTGGCAGGTGATCGACGTCGCCGAGATCCTCTACCGGATGCTGGACATGCCCGTCCTCCCCTCAAACCCTGTCAATCTCCCCGGCCCGACGACCTACACCCATGAAGAGCTGCTGAACCTCGCCCGCCGCGTGACAGACAACCCCTACCGCTCTATTGCGATCCCGAAAAGCATCGCCAAGTTCACGTCCAACATCCTGCAGTACGCTATCTGGTGGCCCTGGTTCTCACCGGACGAGATTGAGAGGAGGTGTATTGACGAGCTGGATGTGGAAGGGGATTGGGACAAGTTTGGTATCACACCTACTGAGCTGGAAGATGTGGCTATCGCCTACCTGCGGAGGTTTAGGGATGCGTACGCCTGCATGTGTTTCTTTCTGTCCTTCACAATCTGAGGCGCAGCAGGACGAAAATCGACTATAACAGCCCGCTGGAGACGGCAAAGGCGAAACGAAGGCAAAATGCTGTGCGTAGTCTCGTTACATCTTAGCATTCTGACTGACATATGGCAGTACTACTCCGAGCCTTCCGAGTCGTCGTAGTTTGCTCGTAGAAAGTTTCTACGTATATAATGAATTGTAAAAACTATTTGCTACGTTTCGTCAATGGGTCGATGATGCACCGGACCGACTACCCCGCATAGTCTTTGCACCAGACCCTAATAAGGCGACCACCATGCATATGGGGCACCAGAACCAAGTTGGACGTTGTCCACCTGCTCAATCGTCGCCATTCACCTTGTAAACGATTGCAGTCTTCTGTACTTTACTCTGTACAACTCTGGGATATGGCTGTTACGATTACGGGATTTGAGGTCAAGGGTCGGTCATTCGTAGCACCTTGAAAGTGTGTCTGACCACCCTACCACTCACTGGCAGACATCAGGTTCCCCACCAGCCTGACTGGCGCTGGGACCGATGCGATGTATGTCCCTTCCTCCTACTGGTGAACATCCCAATACCCATGATCCCGATTCAGGAACGTAGACTGCGACTACTCCGCGGCCTACGTCGCCCTTCACACCTCCTCCTCCCTAAGCGGGTACGGGATGACCTTCACCATCGGGCGCGGGACAGAAGTCGTGTGCCAAGCGATCGAGCTTGTTGTCCAGCGCGTCCTGGGCAAGGAGGTGGAAGAGCTGTTCGCGGATATGGGCAAGACGTGGACAATGTTGATCGGGGATTCGCAGTTGCGCTGGTGGGTGCTACGACTTTGGGGTGGGACGAGCTGACGTAGAGCAAAGGATTGGTCCGGAAAAAGGGGTGATACATATTGCTACTGCCGCAGTGGATAACGCGCTCTGGGACATGTATGCCCGTTCGCGCCATAAACCGCTCTGGAAGCTCGTTGCGGATTTCACACCTGTGCGTAGCCTACTTGCTATGTGCTTACCTGCAGAGTGACCTGACAGCGCACGCAGGAGGAGTTCGTGAGAAGCACGGCATTCAGGTACATCACCGATGTCCTTACTCCTGAGGAGGCGCTCCAGATGCTCAAATCTAAAGAAGCTGGGAAGAAGGACCGGGAGAAGCTTGTGCGTGACATCGGGTGCGATCGGTTTCCCAACCTGTCTGGTGTGGTTGGCTGATGGATACGCAGATATCCAGCGTACATCACCTCTGCCGGATGGTTGATGTACGATGATGAGCAGGTTGCGAGGCTGACGAAGGAGGCGATTGGGCGCGGTTTCAACCACTTCAAGGTTTGTCACCACGAAGTCTCATAGGAAACACTACTATAACACTTTACAATCAGATGAAGGTCGGAGCAGACTTCTCAAACGACTTGCGCCGTGCCAAACTCATCCGCTCCATCATCGACGACCCTGCCAACCTCGCGCCAGGCAAGCAGATCGATCCTGCCAGCATCGCTGGGAAGAACGCAGGGCCTACAGGGAGTGTGCTCATGATGGACGCGAACCAGGTCTGGGACGTACAGGAAGCGATCGACTACGTCACCAAGCTGGCGGAGACGAAACCGTGGTTTATCGAGGAGCCTACAGCACCGGATGATATCCTGGGTCATGCGGCCATTAGGAGGACTCTCAAGCCGCTCGGCATCGGGGTAGCAACAGGGGAGCATGCGCATAACCGAATGGTATTCAAACAGCTCTTGCAGGCGGAAGCGATCGACGTGTGCCAGATCGATAGCTGCAGGCTAGCCGGGGTCACGGAGATCTTGGGTGTACTGCTAATGGCAGCCAAGTACGCCATTTTTGTGGTCTTCTTCGGTGGCTGATAAATGGAAGGTTCGGTATCATCGTCTGTCCCCACGCGGGAGGAGTTGGCCTATGCGAGCATGCTCTGCACCTCTCGCTCATCGATTACCTCTGCGTGTCGGGCACGATGGAGCGCAATGTGCTCGAATACGCGGATCATCTGCACCAGCACTTCATCAACCCCGTCACGCTCAACAGTAATGGGAGGTACAATGTACCGAATGATCCAGAGGCAGGTTATAGGTGAGCACCGCAATTACGGGAGCCTCGTAAGACATACGTACTGACTGACTGCAGCACACACATGAAGGATGCTTCTTTTGAAGAATTCGGGTTTCCTAATGGTGCGTACTGGAGGAGCGTCGCTGAGGGTAATCCTAAGGAAGTCGAATTGTAACCAGCGTATATGTGCTGCCCATCTTGTATTTCATGTACCAACTGAACAAGTACATATTATGTGAAAAAGTGACCCTTGAGGTATCGCCAAACCGAACGTGATCCCCGGACGGAATTCTACCCAACACTCCCCACTTTATCTCAGGCCCGCCTGACCAGCCGTACCGTGAATTTGCCTGGGCCAACCCCTATTGACGGCTGGATATTGTCATCTATATTCCGTCTCCGCCATTCAGCAAGGCTCTCGCCTGCCTCCAGCACAGGTTGGATCTTGTAGTCCTTCATCAACATGGCGAGTGTGGCCAATGACTCTGTTTGTGCAAACTTCTTCCCGACACAGACGCGTGGTCCGTAGCTGAAGTTGATGCCTTGTTCTAGTTTGGGATCGAGCCATCGGGAAGGGTCATACGATTCCGGATTAGTATAATATGCTGGGTTGAAACCTGTGATCAACTTAGCTCGTTGGACCTTCTGTCAAGAAAAATATCCCACAGATGTTGGTGAAGTCAGTGACGAACACTGTGCCCTGCTTGACTGGCATTGTGGATGTGCTGCCGTCTGGCTCTGGGATCCTGAGTGTCGTGTCCGTCATAGCTCGGCGAGGAATGCTTATAACGCTCGCTGCAGAGGTGGTGTTACTTCCTCTCAAGATCAATTAGAAAGAAACCTTACGAATGATACGCATGGCCTCCATGAAGCACCCGAGCGTGTAAGGAAGTGCATCGAAATCCTCATAAGTCTGGGAAAGCGATTGGCTTTTGTCTCTCCCTGAAAATGGTGCGCACCGGATCACGACAGCCGCCAGTAACACGAAGTATCTCGTCGTGGGCTTTCTCCTGAGACTCGGGATGACAAGCGAGCAAGGCTATCGTGGTTCCAAGAGCTCTGCTAGTAGTTTCTGCGTACAAATAAGAGAAACATCAGCCGGTCGGATCAAGAACTTGCCATGTCCCGCAAGCATAAGCAAGAAGACGTTGCTGACGAGCTCCTGGTCCGTCAGAGCCGCTTTCGTGTCCTTCTCGGCATCATTGGCATTCAGTAAGAGACTAAACACATCCTTCTCGTTAGCTTCAGCCGAGGGACTTGGTCCTTCGCTTCGGCGTTTCTCGATGATGCGGCGAACAATTGACTCAAGGGCCAAGTTTGCCTCCTTGACCTTCTTGAAACTGGGAACTTTTGGATATATGTCAGGGGCGAAAAAATGACTTGCTCACTGGCGCAGTGGCAAGTTCCACATCCATTGAGGTAACACCGATTGTAGAATGACCGCATTTGCCGACACGTCGAAACATTGCGACAGAGTCATCCCTCTGACCTTCTCACCCACCGTATCTGTCCATGTCAAGGGAATTCCGAACCCGCAGGATGCGATGAGGTAAAGAGCAATCTTAAGTATATAAGAAGCGTATCGGAGAATATATATACATGGTAACGTACTTTGGAAGTGAGTCCAGGTACATCAGAGATCTCGAAAGAGGATTTGCTGGCCCAGTCTTCACTTCTTAGCATGTCGTAGTACACTCGAATGCTCTCGCTCCAAACCTGAGCATACCTGAAATTGTTACACGTGAGATCATGTAGAGAAAACTTTGTAGAAGCCACTGACAGCTTGTTGTTGAAACCGGGCGCAACAATGCGACGATGTCTTGGCCATCGGTCCTTGTATGATGAAAACAGGTTCTCTCCGAACATGCTTGTTACGGAGTCAGCTTAGTTATATAGAATCTCAGTATGGATCTCACGCTAAGGCATTGACGAGCTCTGGGGTCTTGTCCCAGTCGTTTTTGAATCCGAGAAGCTGCTTTCCCACGTCTACTGAGCGCGTAATCACCATTTCGTTTCCGAACAGCCATGGGACGATCGCTACTGTATCTAGCCCGTATTTGGTGTATACTGCACATTTCAAATTAGAATGTTCCGTAGTCCGGGTAAACAAGGTGACTAACGGGTAGGACGGTTAGACAAAGGTAGTGTAGCCCCGGCATTCCAAGACGAGGATGGCAACAGCAAAGACAGCATCGTAAAAGGCCCTAGGGGGTATCGCGGGCCAGGAAGATGGTGGACTACAGCAAGTTTGTGGCGATAAACCAGAATGCGATTGATGACGAAGACCACTAGGAGCACCAGGTAGAAGGGAAAATGCCAGACGAGCATTTCGAGTTACGCCAGAAGGTAAAGGGACAGTGCAGAGAGAGGAACATTGGGAACAATCACAACGAGGATCGAGATCAGGGTCCATGACGTCAGTTGTCATTACTAATCAGGGATTGTGTTGACCACCTGTGTCTAAAAGACCGATCCATAAATGAGCCGACTCATCATATTGCAGCCCTTCTGGTGAACTTCAAAGGGAACCGCTTCGGGCCAAACCCAATTTTGGACTCTTGGCCCTCTCGTTCCCACTTCTCCCGCCACTGCTTGCTGGTCTGGCCCTGTTTCAGAGCCAGCTCAATGCGATAGTCACGCAGCAACAGCGTTAGTACGCCAACTGCCTCCGTGATAGCAAACTTCTTGCCAAGACAGACTCGGGGTCCATACGAGAAGTTGATCAAAGGTTCTGTCTCAGGGTCAAGCCAGCGGGCAGGCAAGAACGTGTAAGCCGAAGAGTATACGCGCTCGTTGTAGCCGATGCCGATCCAGTCAGACCAGATAAATTGTCCAGCTTTGATGGGAACGGTTCTGGTCTTTCCATCATAGGTGGGTACAGAGAGTATCGTATCTCGTACTGCTATGCGAATCATTCCTGGGGCGCTGGCTGGAGGGATACAACATGAGGCCACTGGGTTCGGGAAAGGGAAAGTGCTCACGGAACATCCTCAACCCCTCCAAAAAACAACCTTGCACCAATGGAAGACGTTCATAATCTTCATATGGCTTGGTCGCCCTTAGTATCTGAACGCCCATGAGGCAACTGCCGCGCTCACCGGATCCCTGACACTCCCGACTACAGATTTGATTTGTTGGTATGCCTTCTCTTGCTCCTCCGGGTGACATGCCAACAGAGCGAGGGTGGCAGCCAGAGATCGACTGGTTGTTTCTATTCACCGTGTCGCTTAATCGCGAAGCGATATATAAATATTATTCATGCTCACCATAACCGGCAAGTAGGAGTAGGAACACGTTGCTGACCAGTTCTCGGTCGGTGAGATACGCCCTACTACCCTTCTCGTCATCGTTCGCCTTCAGTAGGAGGCTAAATATGTCCTTGTTGGCGTTCTCGTCGATGTTTTCAACACCTTCTGTCCGACGTTTGTAAATCAGGTCCTGAAGGATAACCTCAAGAGACTGTCGAGCAGTATTCAGGCGGCGAAGTCTATTCAGGCCTTGCATTAGGACTTGATGTGAGGAACGGAACGATGCGTACGACGTGAGGGGTAAACCAAAGAGCCATTGAGGCAGCATAGCGAGCAATACCACAGCAGTGCTCGTGGTGTTGAAACAATCCGGGAGGCTCATGCCGTTGACCTTATGGCCGACCTGCTCGTTCCACGCGAGATGAATGCCAAAGCCGCATTTGGCGATAAGGAAAAGAGCAAGCTATGCAGTCAACTGTTAGCAAACTCAGAGGATAAGAAATGGTGACAACCTTGGAGGTAATCGCCGGAACATCGGGCATAATGAATGATTTTTCCTTTTCCCACTTCTCCGTGGTCATACAGTCGTAATAAGTGTTGACAGTCTCTGTCCAGACCGCATGATACCTGCTCTCCCTTCAGCATTTCACGAACAGCGACGGATGATCCACTCACAAACTCGTCGTGAACCCGGGTTGTACGACTCTCCTGTGCCTGGGCCAGTCGTGGAAGTTGGTGGCAAAAACATTTGGCCCCTGTGGATCTCTCTCTCAGCATCTGTTATGGACAGAACTCCTGTCAACAAACGAACAAACGGCCTTTTGGCATTTTCAGCATATCATTGGTCATTTTCATAGGAGCTCACGTACGCAAGAGTATTCATGATCATTTCCTCCTTATCGAAGTCGGTCTTGAAGCCGAGTAGCTGTTTAGCTACCTCGGGAGATTTGGAAATGAGCACCGGATACCCCCCGATGTATCCGAGTTCGGAGACGATTTCCGCGTTCGGATTCTTGTCGTACACTATGGATGTTATCAAGCTGAGTTCTTCCAGTCAGGGGGAGGTACACAGACAAGTACGGCGCTTGTTCCAGCGAACGAGCCTGCCAGGGTTCCAGCAGCTGGAGGGCAGCATCGCACCCGGAATGGACATCGAGGAGAAGGGATACCGTTCTCCTGGAATCTCGCGGACGATCTGTCATTCATCGGAACATCCACATTCAACCAAGGTTTGGTGCGGCGAGGAGGACTTTCGTACCGCTACCGAGCGCTGGTATGCTAGGATCCGCTCTATAATGAGCACCAGCATTCCGGTAACTAGGCACAAGAGCCAGAGGGAGTTTAGCCATAAAAAACCCATTGTCCACAATGAGGAGTGGCTCGTCATTGGGACGCAGCAGTGAGAGTCACTAGAGGAGCTCTGGGGGCTGCACTACAGACAAAATCAGGGTTGTTGAGTGTATGACAGGAACTACTTATACCGACCAATCAAATGCTCGGGTTTCAGCCACACCGTGCAATTTCGTCAGTCGAATTTAGGCCCTTTGGGGGACGCGGCGGTGCGACTAAACGTGGTTACGAGACGACAAGTCGAGCCAGGATGTCACAGAGATAGCAGGATAAGATAAGATGTTCCAATTTTGTACAGGTCGCCAGCTTATTGTATCTACTGGCACCGGCATGGTCTGAATTGTCCAGTTCTATGTGGTCGAAGGTGACCTGCCGGCCCGGGGTAGTGCTGAACTTTTCTCCCCACTCCACGGAGTGCAAGAGAGTAATTTGTTTCAAGAGGACTGTGTATAGCTTGTCTGACACCAAGGGAACAGATTAATGCAGTCGTTTGGCATCGGGGTCGGCAAGAGACAAAACAGATCTGTTTTGGAGTTGATGATGAGCAGAAGACGGTCAAGTGAAACGTTAACGTTAACGTCACGCGTACCATGAAGGGTCCGGGCATTCACGGCATTTGTCATTTCGATCAAATGAGCTGATAAGATATATACTGAGGTAATTCCTCCGATGACCCCTTTCGGGCGCATCTTGCCTACAATGACCCCTTGGCCCTGAAATGACCCCTCGGCCTGCCCTAAGCAACCAAGGACCAGTATGTAAATCAATTCTGCATGGTTATAATAATTCCCCGATTTTCATCATCGTAAACATAGGTGAGAGAACAGGGGACTTTGACAACAAGGCAATGAATTTTGCAGCAGTTCTTGAAAATAATGGATACCATACACAATGCCAACCAGCTTGTCTTTTGAAAAAGGTCTGTTTTAATAGCAAAACATTCAGAAAATGCGTTGTTGGATTGACCGGAGGCACGTGCTTCTATTGTCACAGCCACTAATGTGGTTACTTAGGCGCGGCATGATGCGCCCGAGAAAGGGGTCATCGGAGGAATTACCTCCATATATGCACTACTCATATACTATCTAGATCTGAATAGCAGACCTCCTGATGAATTGCACGGAGTACCCTTTTGGGCCAAACCCAACGCCAGCTTCTTGTCCCCTTTCTAGCCACTCCTCCTCCCATTCACGACTGGTCTGGCCCTCTTTCAGCACCGGCTCAATGCGATAATCACGCAGGATCAGTGTGAGAACGCCGACAGCCTCTGTGATCGCAAACTTTTTGCCGATGCAAACTCTGGGTCCATACGAGAAGTTAAACAGAGTCTCCGTATTGGGATCAAGCCAGCGTGCTGGAATGAAGTTGTACGGCGACGGATACACACGAGCGTTGTATCCGATACCGATCCAGTCAACCCAGACGAATTGTCCTGCCTTGACTGCTACGTGTTCGGTATTTCCATCGTATTTAGGTACGGAGAGCACGGTGTCTCGCATAGCCATGCGAAAAAGTGCGGGAGAACTGGCTGTAGGGAGCTGACGTAAGAATCCACTTTCGTAACAGGGACTACTTACGGAACATCCTCAGCCCCTCGAAGAAGCAGCCCTGCACAAATGCGAAACGGTCAAAGTCCTCAAAGTCCTTTTGGCTGTGTGAGCATTGGAGATAATGCATCACAGTACTCGCGCTCACCGGATCTTGATTCTGTCCGACCACGGACTCGATCTCCTGGTATGCTTTCTCTTGCTCTTCTGGATGACAGGCCAGCAGACCGAGTGTGGACGCGACAGAACGGCTGGTGGTTTCTTCAAAGCTCCGTTCAACCTGGGCCCCGCACGGAATGGAATGTATTTACCATGGCCGGCTAGGAGGAGGAGGAAGACGTTGCTGACTACCTCCTGGTCAGTCAGATGGTCCTTGCTTCCCTTCTCTGCATCATTCGCCTTGAGCAGAAGAGAGAAGACGTCGTGATTCATGTCGTTGTCCAGTCCTTCAGCACGGCGTATGTCCATTAGGCGGCGGAGAATAACCTCCAATGACCGCCGAGCCGTCCGCAGACGACGAAGCCTGCCCGATGTCAACACCCCGAATCAAGCACCGGAACGAGGCGTACGGTTTTAGAGGAAGATCGAAGAGCCATCTCGGTAGCATCGCGAGGATGAACACCGAAGTGCTCGTAATCTAGAAACAGTCAACTATGCTCATCCCGTTCACCTTTACGCCGATTTCTTCGTTCCAAGCGAGGTTGGTGCCAAACCCGCATTTGGCGATAAGTAACAACGCGAACTGCATTTCTCTGTCAGTAGACACAGGCAAACAAGTTGTAGGAAGGACCTTGGAAGTGATTGCCGGGACATCGGGCATAATGAATGATGGTTCCTTCTCCCACTTCTCAACAGCCATAAAGTCATAGTAGGTGTTGATCGTCTCCTTCCAGACCGCCTGATACCTGCGGCCAATAAGCACGCCCAAACGCAGATGAGAAAACCTACAATCGGGTGGTGAATCCTGGCTGGAGGACCTTCCTGTGCCTGGGCCAATCCTGAATATTCGTAGCGAAAACGTTTGGCCCCTACATTCTACAATATCAGTGGGCTGAGTGACGCCCAACAACAGACGTACAAACGGCCTTTCGTCATCAGCACCAGAACGGATTCCTCCGGGAAACACATACGAAACACTGTTCAGCACCATCTTGTCCTTCTCGAAGTCGGTCTTAACCCCTAGAATCTGTTTCGCAACTTCAGGAGAGCGGGAAACGAGCATTGGGTAGCCGCCGAGATATCCCAACTCGGAGACGATCTCCGCATGCGGGTTCTTGGCATACACTGTCCCACCAAAGCGCCAAAGAGTTAGAATGTTTGCCCGTTCCGAGGCACAGGGGAAACCATGCACGTACATGTGCGGCGCTTAAGCCAGTGTGCGAGGCTGCCGGGGTTCCACCTGCTCGGGGGAAGGAGCGACCCAGGAAGTGACAGCGACGAAAAGAGATATCGGTCACCCGGTATAATGGACGAGCTAGAGAGTCGGGAGTGGCAAAGGATAAGCGCTTGCGAGGGAAGTGAGGGGGAGAATGGGACGGACCGAGAGGGAGCGCCAGTAGACGAGGGCGCGCTGGATTACGAGAAGCACGACTGTGCCTAGAAGCAGGAGAGACCAAGCAGAGGGTATCAGCGCCAGGCAGGCGGAGAGCACAAAGTATTCCATCATTAAGTTCGAAAAGTGCTAGAGCAAGGACTGCAGGATGCCTTACAGGAGCCACAACCAAGGCACGCTGGAAGAGTCTTCAAATGATCCATAGCCCTCTATAAGCTGGCTAAGAGAAAGCTCATCCATAATAATCTCTTGCCAGGAAGAGACACGGATTAGAAGCAGGTCTATAAGAGCAGGACGATAGATGGCCAGTGCAGGAGGCGCTCTCGTTGCATTTGGCTCCTAACAGCGCCGAGCACGTGCTGCCACAGACTAGCCAACAGCAAGCCCATCAATGATCGTCCCTTGAAAGAAAGAGACAAAGATTAGCCGCAGGTCTAGAGCTGGATGATAGATGACAGTTCCTTTAGAGCAAGCGATAGATGGTTGTGAGAGGCGCTCTCCTAATGGCGCTGAGCACGTGCTCCTACAGACTGGTTAACAGCGAGCTCATCAATGATTATTTCTTCCGAGGAAGAAACAAGCATTATTAGGGCAGGACGATAGATGACGATTTTTTATACCAAGCGAGAAATGGTTGTGCGGGAGCGGTTCTTTTTCCGGTGGCTCCCAATGGCGCTGAGCACGTCCTGCCCAGACTAGCCAGCACCAAGCCCATCAATGATCGTCCCTTGGGAGGAAGAGACAAGCATTAGCAGCAGGTTCATGAGGGCAGGATAGATGGGAGTTTATTGAGAGCAAGCGATAGATGTGCGAGAGGGGCTCTAGAGCTGGGGGATAGATGACAGTTCCTTTAGAGCAAGCGATAGGTTGCGCGGGAGGCGCTCTCATTGCAATTACTGTAGCTCCAAATAGCGCTGAGCACTTGCCGCCCAAACTAGCCAACAGCCCGTCAATGATCGTCCCTTGAAATAAAAAACAAGCATCAGCCGCCCTCCTAGAACGGGGGATATGACAGTTCATCTGAGGGAGACCATCACCAGTGCTGGAGCACGTGCAGTTTAGCCCATCGGCCTCTGTTTGGCCCGGAAACGCCCGGGGAAATCCATTCGATATCCTCCAAAGACTGTACCAAAAGAAGTACGAACTACTGCGAACTGCGAGCTAACTACGAACTGCGAGCTAACTAGGTAATATGTAATATGTAAAAGGTATGTTACTGTCCGAACGGAACGAAGCCGGAGCCGAAGTGGGAGAAGTGCAGGAAACAGCAGGAGTTGGGGGGAGGGTGGGGAGACAGTCGGACGCTGTCAGGTCAGGTCGTTGAACGTGTTGGGGTACGCGAGGTGCAACATGGAAGGTGCAACATGGAATGTTGAAGGTGCAACATAGAAGGTTGAAGGTTGAAAACTGAAGGTGAAGGCGTAAAATTGAAGGTTGTATGTCATGTGAACGGATAAACAAGTGCAAGTGCAAGTGCGGCAAGAAAAGCATGTTGATGTACTGCTGAACCTTGGGATTCGATTCGGTGCAGTGCCTTCCCGTTAGGGACGAAGGTGTCGTCGAGCAGGATCGAGGGGTCCAGGGGTCAAGGTGTTGGTCAAGAAGAAAAACGAGCGTGCAAACGTCAAACGTTCAAAAAAGAAAAGAAAGGCGCATCTATATGTGCATGGTGCGTGGTGCGTGGTGGATGACCCCTTCCAACATCTGGCGGGTCAAGTAGGGGTCAGTCGGGGTCGGTATGTAGTTCTTGCGAGGGGTATTTTCTCCTCCATCTCCATCTCCAGCACCAGCACAGGACCATTCAGTCCAGCGCTTCCAGCAACCGCACCGGTAGAGTCTTATGTCTCCTCCAACGGGTGAGGTTCCTCCCCGACCGTTCCACAGCGGGCGTCGGGATCGTCGCCGGTCTAGGAGCTGCCGGTCCCTCCACTTCCACTTCCACTTCCACCCCAACCTCCAGCTCAAGCTCCGGCTCAAGCTCAACCCCTCCTCGCCTGGCTCGGGCTCCGCCCTCGCGCACATGTCTACGATCCGGCGGTACCCAAGTACTCACATGCCCCACCGCACTAGTCGTCACATCCCCCACTTCCCCCTCACTTCCCCCAATCGCAACGGGCACCGTCGGCCCCCCTCCTCGATGTGTGAAATACCACGCGCAAGCTATCCCTCCCCCCAGACAAGCCACTCCAAGGCAGACGAAGAATATGACCAGGCGGTGCATGGATTGACGTGAGTCTAGGGTAGATTTGAGCCAGTTTGAAGACCGGGAATTGGCAGGTTTTTGGTTGGCTTCTTTTGCTACCATCGAGAACCTGCGCCAGAAAGCGTCACCATCGTCTGCCTGCCCGCCCCTTCCCCACCCTGCAAGCGCAGCCGGAGCCTGAGATGCGCGTTTGGAAGGCAGGCTTGCCGGGTCCCGTTTGCGCACCGGGAGCGCACTTTCTTTTTCTGAACGCATGATCCCCAGTGCGTCACCCACCTGCTGCTGCAGGGGGGAGAGGACAGCCATCGAGAACCTCAAACTGCCGCGCTTGCTCTGCGGGGCCGCGAACCGGGGGACGATAGGCGAGCTAGGGGGCAACGGGTGAGGGGAGAAAGAAGACGCTGCGCCCGGGGTGCCTGGAGTATGGGGGGGGAGGAGCGGCTCGCACATCGAGGATTGGGAATGGGGTGAAGGGGGGAAACGGGATACTGCGGCGGGGGGTGGGGTTGGGTACGGGCTTCCGCTTCCGGGTTGGGGGTGGGCGGGGTAGGGCTGGGGAGAACGGAGGATCGGGGTTGGGTGGGCTTGACGTATCTGCGGAGGCGGGGGTTGCCGCTGTTGTTGTGGTTGTTGAGGAGGTTGTTGGTGCGCAGGACCAAGGTTAAGCGCCCTAGGCACCGCTCTCGGCGCCGGGTGCATCATCTGCTGGCTGAACTGTTCCTGCGCCCCCTGCCTCAGCCCCGACCCCTGCACCTGGGGGGAATACGCCGGCGGAGGCGGGGACAGGACCTGATCCCGCATCGGCCTGTCCTTTTCCTTTTCCTTTGCTGAAGAGGGGGAGTTGGGCAGGGGGAAGGGGGAGAGAGGGACGGAGGGCTGGGCTTGGGTCGCTGCTGCGAAGAGGGACAGATGGGCTGGGTTTGACGTGGATGAGGTGCTAGGGGGGACGGTGATCCCCAGACCGAGCGGAGGGCGGGGTTTCTCTTCCCCCGTTTCCTGGGGCTTCGCTTTCGACTTCTCCTTCCCAGCAGCGGCAGGGACAGGAGACCTGACCCTCAAATCCTCATCCTCATCCTCACTCTCCTCATCACTCATCGCATCACTCGAAAGCAGTCCAAGCCCAACATCATACGTCCCCACGCCAGACAAGCGTCTTTCGTCCACATCCACCACCGGGTCGGAGGGTACGACCAAGGATGCAATAGAGGACTGGACGTTGATGTTGTTGGGCGAGCGGTTGGGGGAGCGGGAGGTGGCGCGGTGTACGGAGGAAGGGGCGAGTGTGGCGGGAGGAGGGGAGAGGGAGAGAGATGGGTCAGCTGCGATGGCTGCTTTGAGCTGTTGTTGGAGGTTCATTTTCCCTCCTCCTTCTTCTTCCTCTCCTTCTCCATCCTCCGTCTCCTGCTCATCGTCCTTCTCCTCCCTAGACAGCGCACTAGAGAAATACTCCTTCTCCCTAGGACTGGTTACACTAGAAGAAGACATGAAGCTTGAAGCGGCGGGTGATAAAGGTGGACGAGGTGAAGGAGGTGGTACGAGTACTCCTGCGCCTGATGAGCCTGCTAGAGGTGATGAAGCGTATATCCTTGGTTCCAGTTGTGGTTTTCGTTTTGGACGTGCTTCTGAGCGGGCCATTTGGGTGATTGGTGGTTGGTGGATTAAGTGATCGAGAGTGAGTAAAGAATGACAAGCTGTAAGAGCGAATGAATGTGTCAAGTTGGATTATGAGCAGTAATTGGAGCTCATGAGTTAGAGTGAGTGGAATGGAGTGAAGTAAGAGGTCGTGGTGGTTGAAGAGAGAGAAAGAAAGAATAGAAGGAGAATGGTTGCTGCGTGTTACAGCATGAAATGGAATAGTAGCCAAGGAATAACAAGTGTCCATATGGTAAGAAATGTCTATTAGAATAAGAAGCATAGCCACTAACAACCCTAGCAACGGAGGAACCACGGATCTTCCTTCGATGCAGTCAAGTCACGTGAGAGTGTTTGTAAGGCCTGGACTCACATCGTTATCGTTCCTCTGAAGAACGATAAACACTTGAACAACTCCCACTCCTACGGGCAGGTTTGGTTCATCTGCCATCTGCCATCGCCTTAGTCTCAGTCAGTAAACCTGACCTCTGCCTACACTTCTAAGCGATCCCAAACTCCCAGGGAGGATATCCCCGGTCTTCGATCTTTGCGAAATGGCCAAGCTTCTGCGTTCTCCTTCTCTACTACGTATGCGGATGCGGGCGCATAGGTTCACACGCTTTGATACATGACACCGCTCACTCCAAATCTTGTTCGCATGTACCATTCTTTCACTCGGAGCACTTAATCCCAGGCCACCGCGTCCAACCTTCTGTGCGGCGCTCGGCTCTGTCTCCGGAATCCAAGGCCAATTTAACTGCGGGAATGGTCTCGTGCTCGGAGCGTTCATCCTCTCTTCCTGCATAATATGGATCGTCCATCTGGAAACTGGCGACTGCAGAGGAACTCCAACTCCATCTACGGGAGTTGATCGCTCAACCCCATTCCCCATGGGCATATTAGATGACAGACTGCGGGACCACGCGTCTGTGATTGAACCCGACGTGAACCTCCCTCCAGCAACATCCGACCGGCCGCGTAAGCGTATCCTCCCCTATGTATCCAGCCAAGTCCGCTCTCTCTCGGATTAGCATAACCTCTCCACTCTCATCCCGCATCCCGGGCCGATCCTCGGATCTGTTCATCGAACAACTCTGACCGGCTCCCCCGGCTCCTGAATCCAAGCGCCTGGCTCTCCTACTCAGACGTTGGACAGTGCACGCCCGTTCTCAACTCGCAAGAAGCGCGACCCATTCTCCCTAGGGCAGTAAACTCTCTGACGCTCATCCCAGCCCGATCAACCGGATCTGCAAATTCAAGCCTGCTCAACTCTAACTCTCCTATCCCAGATGCTCCATCCTCCGCATCTCGTCAGCCCGTCAAACACTCTCCAAGTCCCAAATCCAGATTCAGCAGCGGACGCCTCCGGCTCCGGCTTCGTATCACCGTTCCAGTCAGTCAACCTGACACCTGACATCCACAGCTGTCCGCTACATCTACATCTACATCTACACATCGTCCAGCCCATAACCGAGTGCCAGCAAAGCGTGGCCCAGATCTTCGAGTGAAGCGGCCAAGCCTCACCGCGGTACCCATCGTGCAAGATACGGCTGCAGGTTTTACACCCTCTTGATGACTCGCGTCGTTCTCAGTCTTCATCCTTCTTCTCAGAACGATGTCTGCTACTGAGACATGGATCTTCGCCAGTTCCCCATCCGTGGGGGTATAAATACCCGCCCTAGCCTGGGAGAGCACCAGCAGGCACCCCCTACCCCCTTCACCGGCCGCTCGCAAGATGTCCCAAACGACCCCCGGAACCCCGGAAGACGACCGTCTACTGAATCAATTGCTCGAACTCAAGTCCGATTTCCAGCCTTCGGAGGAAGAACTCCACTTCTTCCATCAGGCGACAGGCATCACCCTCTGCCCAAGAGCTGAAGAAGCACGTCATTTCCATTCAGCAGAAAGCGCTCCAAGTGTTCCCATATCCCTGTATATCCACATACCACTTCACGCGGTCCGCTCACTGCTATCCTATACCCATACCGGTGCTTATGTGCGCGCGCGGGGCAGGACGATGATTTCCCACCTTAAGGGGTTTGGAAAGCCCTCCGTCTGGCTCGTGAACGGCCAGGGGCGCTGTTACTCGACATCAGCTGCTGCTTCGGTGCCGACGCACGAAAAACAGTGCTCTCTGGGTATCCCGCAAATCAGATAATCGCTTCGGACTTGCATGCCCGGGTACGTATCTCCCCCCCTTCCCGAGGAACTGGGTTGAGCTTAGGGGAGTAGTTCTGGGAGTTAGGGTACGAGCTGTTTAGGGATGATGGGGAGCGCATGCTGATCCACGTCCTCTCGGGGGACGTGTTTGACCCGGAGTTCGTCTCTCCTTCCCCCTCCGCTGCTCCAGCCTCCTTACCCACACCCGCACCCACACCCACACCCGCACCCGCAGCCCACCCCCACCCCCAACCGCCAAACCTAGGCCAACTGCGCACTCTCACGCCTCTCAAACGCTACTGGAGCGCCATCCACGCAGGGGCTATTCTTCCACCTCTTCTCCCGCGAAAAACAGGAACATCTTGCCCTCCTCCTCGCCAGCCTTATACGGCTCGAAAGTGGGAGTGTGTTCTTCGGCCAGCAGATGGGGGATGAGGAGGAAGGTGTAGGGCAGGAAATGGGGAAATGGGCCCATTCGCCTGATAGTTGGGCACACATGTGGACCCGGGCGCTTGTTGGGGTGGGATGGGATGGGAGGGTGGAGTGCGAGGCTAGCGTTCGGGAGGTGAAGCAGGAAGTGGGGGCTATTGGGATCGGACGGGGAGTGTTGACTTGGACTGTGGAGCTTGTTTAGACACACCCGGGTTTACAGAGGGGCGTGCTTGTACGAATTCGTAGCCTATCCCTTCCTTCCAGCTAACATCCCCCCTGTACACGTCTAAGCCTTCTCAGTCAACTCAACACACCAGAACATGATCCCCTCCCCAATCCCCAGCCCCTGGGCCAGCAGCGCCCTCTCCCCCTTCATAGGCAGCATCGTAGCGCTAACGCTCACGTCCCCCTCCCAGCCAAGCTCGAGGAACGTCTCCTCCCAGAGCCGTCTCCAGCTCTTGGGCGAATGCGCCCATCTTCCTCTTTCCTTCCCAGTGCCCTCGATAGCAGAAGCGATCTGGTGGCCGAAGATCACGCTCCCGGGTTTGGGGAGGAGGAGCGAGCCTAGTAAGTGCGCGAGATGCGCTTGCTGAAAATGGGAAAAGAGGTGAAAGAAGAGGGAGGCGTGGATCGCGCTTACTCTTTTGTGTAGCTGGGTGAGGGAGGTGAGGGCCTGTACTCCTACTGGTACTGGTGGGGGTGGGGGTGGGGTGGGAGGAGGGAGGGAGAGGAACGAAGGATCGAGCACGTCCCCCGCTAGGAACTTGATAGGCAGAGTACGCTCGTCGTCCCTGAACAGCCGGTGTCCCAGTTCAAGGAACTGCAGGCTTAGGCTCAGGGAATCGCAAGCAGCAGCAGAGGGGGAGGGCGCACCTCGGGATGCAAGTCCGAAGCGACGATCTGCGCTGGTGGGAAACCGTCTTGCACTGCCTTCCTTACATCGGCGCCGAAGCAGCAACCAATATCGAGCAGCAGGGCTCCTTTCCTCTCTCTTTCGAGTAGGAGGGCTTTCTTATACCCTACGAAACGGGCTACAGTTGGCCTACAGTACAGGCTGGTGAGTGACGCGCTTGGGGCAAGGGGGGGGGGACAGACGACGTAAATGAGAACCGGGCGATGCAGGGGTATGGATGGACTTGTAGTGCTTGGTGTTGGATCCCGAGGACGTGAGCTTTCAGTTCGGGGACGGTGGGGATACCAGTTGTTTTGTGCAGGAAGAGGAGGTCGTCTGGGGAGGGGTTGAATTTCGTGGGCGCTACGGGGTGGCCGGCGGTGTTGGCTGCCATGTTGTGGGCAGGGTTGGGAGTGCTGGGGCTGGTAGACGGGGTTATGGGGGATATATACCATTCCCTAGATCTAGAAGAGTCATCGTTATTGAACGACAGGTTCTGGGAAAAACAGCGAGCAGAACACCGAGGATGGGTCACATGTTGATATGTTGAACAATAGACATGCAGATACTGCGGAGAAGTGGCAACGGTAACGGTTGGGGAAACGTTCATCGCAACTTAGCGTTCATATTCTAAATGACTGATCAACGTGTATTCGACTGTCATTGTTGGGGGATACATGACATGACATGAGAACAGAGACCGGCACCGATCCCAGCTCGCATCCAACAAGCTCAGTTCATCCCCTCGTCCTGCTCCATAGCCCTCTCGACAGCCTCATCAACTTCCCTCTCCTGGCGAAAAGCGTCCACCTTCTTCCCCCTCGTATACCCTTCAACGACATTCCCCTGTCCACCAAGGTCGTCCACCTCCGCTATATGTACCCGAGTGAGTGTGCTAGAAGTAGAAGTGGGAGGGGTGGACGTACACTGGGGGATACGCCTGCTCTGTTCCGACTGAGCAGCTTCGGCGTCTTCCTTCCTAGCATTGACGCCCGACTGGGGAACAGCAGTAGTGGTGAACTCGGTTGACATCTTTCGTTCGTCGTTCGCGGGTTGGATAGATTGAGATCGACTGATTGGGTGCTGAACGTACAGAGAGCGAAGATGCTGGAATTTATACCCCTCTGAAGGGGGTTCGTAGATGACAGTGGGATGACGTAGTGTCCCAAAGCACAGAGTTAAAGCAAGTCAATCGTCCAGTCCCATCCAGCTAACAGCTCGAGTCCATCAGTCCACCGCAAATCGTGTATCGCAGACACATACGTCATCGCAGTAGTATCATGATCTGTGAGGGTCGCGTCTAAGGATCGGTCGATGGGTCATCGATCAGAGTTCGGTCTAGCCACTCAATGACTCATCGATCGCTTTCAGCAGAACAATCGCATGCCACGATCATCGTCGTCAGGTCGATCACGTTCCTAATACGATCCCCACAAAACCTTCATTCGTGCATATTCCCGCCTCTGCACGGACCGATTCTTTCTCACTCATCACCCCGGTGCGTAAGGCCACGGGCCGTACGAGCTGTGGGGATGACCATAAATGGCATCGCATTTTCCAACACGAAACAAAACGAAGAGACTGTCATTTTTCTTGGGGTATACATGCCCGCCTCCTAAGTCCGTCCCGAACCTCAAACTGTACAACTACACGTTCCCTCCATCTCATAATGCGCCATAAGCCATGAGCCATAAGCATAACCAACCCCGTGCCCACACTCGGGGTAGTGCACGGGAGAAAAAAGAGTACAACAATGAGAGTAAGTAAGATAAGCCCAACCCGAGCAAGTCAGAAAATAGGTGCTACAAGATCGACCCCCGCGCACTCGCCCCACCAGCACGTAGGCAGGTAGGCTAGATCGTCGCCGGACTAAGCAGATGATCCCTGTACTTGGGCTCAAAGCTCTCCCTCACCCTCTCAGGCGTGGCGCCCTTCCTAGCCTCCATAATCTGCTGACACCGCATACTCGCAATCATCCCCCGGATCGTGATCCACTTCTCCCGATCCCGGTCCGTATCCGTCGTCCCCGGCGGGAGGGGCACAGCGTCCGCCGTGACCTGGGCTGGCGCGTGCGGGAGGGAGATGAACGGGCCTGTCATCTGGATCCGGGGCCAGAGGGTGTAGAGGAAGGCGGCGAGCAGTTCGGGCTGGACGTGTACTCTTCCATGTGTGAGGCGGAGCTCGACATGCGCTTGGACGGGGGCGATAGGGGGCGGAGGAGGGATATGGTAGATATTTAATGCGCGTAGCTCGACTCGCTCTAGCCGCCGGCAGCGGGTTGTGAGCACAGCGAGGGCGGAGAGGGTCAGCGCACTCTCGTCTGCTAGCCCTCCTGAGCCTGTGGCGAGCCGATCGTTCCACTGCAAGTTGAGGACTTCGAGTGCGGGCCAGGCGTTCCCGATCGCTGCTACGTGCGTATCTGCGAGAGCGAGGCGAGTCGCTGCGAGGTAGGACAGCTCGAGTTGTGTTATGGACTTGATCTGCAACAGAGGGGCAAAAACGTCAAAGTCCACACTTGTGTCTGCGCCGTAGTCGAAGTCCCTGCATGTGAGGGAGAGAGCGCGCAGGTGCGGCTGGCCAGCAGCGACCATGCTTGCTATGTATGCCAGTGCTTCAGGGGTGAAGGGTTCGGCACCTATGTCCAGCGTGAGGGAGTGCAGTTGGGGCGGGATGAGCTTGAGGAACATGGGTGCTATGTGTTGGTTCGCGGAGAGGTGGAGGGAACGGAGAGCGGGGAAGGGCGGGTGGCACACGAGCTGGTAGGCAACTTGCTCGCCGAGGATATCGACGTTGTAGTATCCTACTCTGAGTTCCTGGAGCGCGGGTCGGCGGGCGAGCGCACCGAGCAGTGTCGGGTGTAGACCGATAAAGTCGCACTCGAAGCACTCGAGGAATGCGAGCTTCGTCACCAGGCTGATGACTGTGCTCAGGTGGATGCTTGTTCGAGGCATGTGCGCTGCGAGGGAGAGCTTGCGCAGACGCGGGCAGAGCCGTGGAAGTGCCTCGAGTAGGCATCCGACGGGAAGCGCCCAGTCTGCCTCGGCGTTCCCCCAGTACTGGTCATCGCAGTGGAATGTCTTGACGTACAGTTCCTCCAAGCTCGGCGCAAGGAAGAGGAGGACGTTGTTCAGGTGCTCGGCTTCGAGCGTCGTATAATGCAGACTCCTCAGTCCCGGGAGGAGGGCAGATGTCCGGGTGAGCGTGGCGATTGCGGTTAGTGAAAGGTGGGCGTAGTCGTCGTTCAACTCCTCGGACTCGCCCTCCTCATCCACCCCGCTCGTGAGGTCCAAGTCGAGCGTCTGAATCAGCGGCGCATACATCTGGAATCGTCGCATGCGCGAGGCGATGGAATAGTGACGTTTTGAGGTCTAGACACTTGTCAGTCGCGCATATACGAAGGGCGTGATCAGGATAAGACGCACAGCAGTGGGATTCTTAACCTCCTCTGTGTCCAAAAAGAGGTTCACGAGGCACATGAGCGCTTCTGTGTCCACGCTCGCCCATAGCTGACTCGCCGAAGGGAAAAAGAAGAAGCCCGAGGTTCGGAGGAGGATGGCGAGGTCGTCGTGTGCGAGATGGGAGAAAATGAGCTGCAGGATTTCGGGGATTTGCAGCGCGCGGTGCATCCTTGCGGGTGCCCGACGTGGGCTGAGAGGGGGATGATGAGCGATTTCTTGGACTTCCCACAGGGCTTTTAAGCGTGGAGCAGGGTTGTCAGGGGGACTGAATTGCTAGAGAACGCCGAGTCCTGGGGCGATGATTCGATTCGAAAAGTGCTTGTTGACAGTGATGAGAAGTGTACTCTGTAGATGAACAAGCCAGAGATGAGCAGATGGTGGTCAAGAGGAGGAAGACGAGTGATGGTGGTGAAAAGGAGAGAGACGACGAGGGCGTTCATTTCTGCTCTCAGAGTCGATGTCGTTCGGACGTTGTGCCCCGGTGCGGCCTCCCCGTCCCGCGCGCCATCGTTGAGGGCCGCCTCAGCCGTGCCCTCTGCGCTTCTCCGCGGTCCGCCACGGTGCGTGATTGATCCCGCGCAGTTGGACGCCTCTTAGAAACACTGCCACTTGCTGGATATTTAGTTCTATTCAGTTCAAGCTTCAGCGATAACTAATTCACTGTCACTACTGCATTGAGAAGGCGTTAGATTGATACGATAGGTACGGGCGTATACGGATGAGCAAATTGAACGGGAAACGCCGCAACACATCCCTGCTGACATGGTGAAAACAGTTTTTTTTGCATTGACAGTGAGACGCCCCAATGATCGAAATCACATGACCGGACCGCACGTGCCGTTTCCCTGATCACCCGATCATCCCCCGATCAAACACCGATCACGCCAAGTTGAACGCGTTCATCGCGTCCTCGTCATCGCCAACAACGAGCTCGATGCTGCAGCCGTTGACCCCGCTCCCTCTGCGCGACCATGTCCTTGCTTCTCTCTCTCCTCTGCCTGGGAAACGCCAGCTCCAACTCGATGTCCTCGTCACTCCCGTTAGGAAGCACTCGGGCTTGTTCCCCTACTCGAGGCCGAGGGTGAGAACGTGGGTGCAGGAAGTCCTCCTGCTCTTGTTCGAGAGCCCAGGGCAGCCCCTTGATCCCAACACCCAAGAGTCAACAACAGCAGTCGCAGGAGCGAGCAGAGTATGCACAGCAGCTCTGGAAGCATACATCTACTACCTTCCCTCGACAGGCGCATCAATACTCTACGTCTCCAAAGTCGATTCCTCTGGGCTCTCCCTCCCACCCTCGCCCGTATCTACCCTAACACGCGCGTTTCTCTCCCACATCTGTGCGCCCGCATACCGCCCAGCGCCTTCACTTTGGGTACACGTCTTCGCTCGAGCTCAGGGGCAGTATATGTTCCCCAACTCGAGTGAGAATGGACGGAAGAAGGTGCTGGGAGACGCGAGGTTATGTAGCTGGTGGAAAGCTTTGCTAGACGATGTGATAAGGGATATTGTCACCCCAGAGCAAGAACCGTCTGTGCCTCCAGCTGAGCTGGTCTCAAGTGGAGAAGGCAACGATGTCACGAAAAACGAAGTTATCACGACCGCACATACCTCTGCTGCAAGCGATCCCCCAAAATACAGCGCGTTCTATCTCCTACCCGGGTACCCTGCAATCGAAGCCTCTCGCCTTCTATCATTCACCACCCCCTCCGACCAACCTACACCAATCTCATGGACTTACTCTCACCCCTACCTTCACCCCGTCTTCCCCCTCCCTACCGGTGTCTCTCCCACCAAACGCGGGCTGGCTGACTGCATCCCCTACTTCGAAGACGACCCCAAAGCTCGATTTATCCTCGAGCTTGCGAGCGACGTAGAGCCCAGCTTGCCCCGCAAGCGACAGAAAACGGCACCGGCCCCATGCTCCCCTACCAAGCAGCGCAAGGAGTCTGACGCTGACACTTTGAACCTGAGCAAGAAAGTCCACAAAGAGGAGAGCAAGGAGAAGGATGAAGGACCGACACCAGAGGAGCGCGCGCTTGCACGGACAGGGGTGGACGATTTCTGGGAACTGATGCCTCATCGGCAAGAATGTTCCTCCGGCGCTGTGACGGGCTTTTTCGTCCTTGTCTTCCCCTCCTCCGCTTTTTCTTCCAAGTCTTCTGCCTCGGCGGGGAAACACGACGCTCTCCCGCCCTCGGCGCCAGGACAGGTCAGCCAGGGTGTTTTATCCCGCGTTACATCAGCACTGCTCGACCTGGACTTTGGCACTGTAGAGCGGGGGTATCGCGCAAGTGGGGTATTACAAGAGCTGGTAAGGGTGTGCTGTGTGCCTGCTGTTGCCCCCACCGGAGACGCCGCGCAGAGCAAAGCAGCCGTCACAGACCAAGAAGGGAAGGACATTTACACAGCATACGTCTCCGCTTCAGTCAGCGTTGACAACCCCCTTCCGGTGCGAGCGAAAGAAAAGGTGGAGGAGAAACCACAGGTCGTGAACGTTTTGCAAGTGAGGAAGAAGAGACGGGCGGCTTGATTTGAACAGGCGAATCTTGGCATGGATGATGAGGATATTTATCGTGTTTATTGGATGTTGAATATTATTGCTGGTCATTGTTGGTGTCTATGTTGTCGTTGATAACGACATCGCCACAGACGCGCCTCTCTACTAGTTGCCTGCCGCGTGTCTCCGTCCACCACTCTCTGTACTCAACCCATGGCCTACCTCTCTTCCTCTGACAAAGTCTCCCTCGCATCTACATTCATCCTCCAGTCCCCTCCAGGAGAGGTAAACGACGTCCTCTCCGACCTGCGTCTCGTGATCGCAGACGATGCCGCTCTAGAACAAGGGATCACGCACGCCCTAGAGGAGTATAACGTCGACCAGCTCGTGGGGGTCGATGTGCCCGGGGAAGAGTATAAGGTGTGTTCTCGGCACGTGAAGGTTTGGTACGAACTTACGGAGTGTGTAGATGGTGTTGAGTGAGAAAGGGAGGTTGCAGACGGAGGACGGCGTAAGGTACCTTGATCCTCGGGGAGGGAACTCCTACGTTATAGACCATATCAACTTGGTACGGTGCCAACCTATGCATATGCGCTCTCCTAACCTCACAATCGAGCAGACTGTCTCCGACCCACAGCCCTACTCTATCCCAACTTCCCTGGAAACTCTCCGCTCCGGTCTGCAGAAAGCGCTGGACGGTTATCTTACGCGGCATTTCGTCCCCCAGCCCAAGCCCGGCACTGCAGATCCCGCCCTGGGTGATGCAGCATGCGCGGTGTTCCCTCCCCTTGTCTCGTCTGACGAGGAGGCCGAGCAGCTGGCGAGTAAGGTATGGACTATGGAGATCGTGAGCAGCCGGTATAAGCCGAGTAACTATTGGAGCGGGAGGTGGAGAGCTAGGTGGGAGGTCGAGCCGGAGAAGATGGAGGTTAGGGGGGATATCGCTGTGGATGTGCATTATTATGAGCAAGGAAATGTGCGTTTTTCTGCTGTTGCGTTCAAGAAGCCTGATGTTGACGTGATTCGTATGTAGGTCCAACTGCACACCAAGTTCGCCCCGCACATCCCACTCCCCTCCGCATCTGTCACGCCAGAGCAGATCGTCCAGCTCGTAATAGACGAAGAAGCGCGGTATCATGCCAAACTCACAGAGTCGTTCGAGAAGATGCGCGATGGCGGGTTTAGGGGGCTGAGGAGGGTGCTCCCTGTCACGAGGGGAAAGATGGACTGGGATAAGGTGAGCCAGCTTGGAGGTTATGCTAATGGGTGCTTATGCTGTTTAGGTTCTGGGATACAAGCTGGGACAGGAGCTTGCTGGGACGAGGTCAACCCCTGTTGTGTGAACTGGTGAAGGGGTGTCTGCACGTGAGGTTTGGGTGGAAAGGGGGTGATCAGTGTTGTTCTGGACCTACGTGAAGTTCCCAATACATTGAAACGGATCCTGCGATTCATCAGATAACGAGGCAGTTACTGTCATAACTCCATGCACTCAGCCGCAGAAGAAGGTAACCACAAAGACGATGCACGCAACGACAGCCCTATGTCTGTGGAGATACGGAGGGCGCGTTGCCCAAACGTCTGAGTCTAATCATCTTCCTTTCTCACGTTGCCTTCCACGCCCGATGATTGGCCGACTTTCAACACTGCCCTGGTTCTCAGTTCGTCCTTCGCGCCGAAGAAGTTGAGGTTCCGCAGTGTAGAGTAGCATGAGCCATCGCCTTGCGTGGTATATGAGTCGATGACCATGGTCGAACTGAGCGTGATGCAACCGCCCTTCAGACGTGCTCTGGGTGAGGAACTGTGGTCAAGATGCTTAGCTGGGCTGTTCTTGGAGTTCTCTTTTGCGTGGGTTGGATATTCGCTGCATTGTCTGGCGACGGGAAAAGCTCGCGGTATGTTGCATTCTAAGACTTTCTCGAGAGCATGATTTTAACCCTAAGTTTAGGAAGTGCAGTTTTTCCCTGGTCCACTCTACCTCTTCTCCCCATTCACTCTGTTCGGAGCTATCCTTCCAACGTCAGAATAGAATGGCGGTATGCTGATTAGTTGGGTGCATCGGCATTCTCGTGAGTACGGCTTCTAAACATGTCGTTATATTGCGCTCGAGGATTCAGGGTGGGAGAAGTACGGAAGCGAGATCATTTCGCTAGTTCCCTGCATTCCGGGGCGCACAGTTCTTTGGACTCGTTCAGCCGAGGTGGCAAGGCAACTCGTGGCGAACAAAAGCGACTTGGATAAGATACCTGAACAGGTGTCTACTCTTGGGTACATAAATAGTGCCACTGTTGGAATGGGAGCTGATACTTGTGGCGAGTCGGTGTTTTCATCTTATCGTGACCGCTGGCCGAGACATACACGGATAGTCTCACCTGGATTCAACAATAAGCTGTGAGTGGGCTCTCTTTGTGCCTTTTATCGAACTCACCTGCGCCAGGTATGAACAAGTCTGGAATGAAAGCCTTCGCACTTACTACGAGATGATCCAAACTGAGAGTTGGCCCGTTGAGCCTGGGATTTCCTGTACTTCCCCAGACGCAATCGCCATGACTTCCAAGGTACAGCTATCATCCTCAACTTACGAAGTTGCCGGCTCACCCAATTGGTCTAACAGATTGCCCTTTACCTCATCGCCTCTTGTGGGTTTGGGATGACTCTTTCGTGGGAGGAGACCGTGGGTGAACGAATCTGTGGCATGACCTTACCGGAGTGCTTCCATATCGCTTCGGCTTCCATGATCCCGCAGCTCTTCTTCCCTAAGCGGATGTTCCACTTGCCGATCAGAGCGTGCGTCATAAGAGTATCATTCCTGTTGATGGTATTGCTGACCTCAAACCTAGACTGAGCAAAATTTATGAATCCAACCTCGTCATCGAGTCCATTCTCTTGCGCATCATCGAAAACCGTCGACGTCAAGGGCCGACATTTGAACAGAAGGAGAGTCGTAAAGATGTATTCAGCCTGCTTCTCACAGCAAATGAAGCTGAAGCGGATAGCAATATGGCACTCACTGACACAGAGCTCGTCAGTAACATATTTTTGTTAATGCTTGCTGGGCATGAAACGACGAGTCGCGCACTGGGATCAACATTGGGTCTCTTGGCTGTGAATCCGGACAAACAAGAGAAGGTGTACGCGGAAGTCATCTCAGGATTGCGCGATGGTCGCGATCCGGTACTCCCTCTGTCCCTTTTCCCTAGTTTCTCATCTGATCCCCATTGGCAGACATACCAAGATTTGGAATCATTCCCATACTTACAAGCATGCTTTCAGGAAGGAATGTGACTGTTCCGTGCGTGCGCCACTGGTCTCGACCGCAATACATGCTGATGAAACAGACAGCGAGTGTCTCTGGAATCCCTCGGCGCGCGGTGGGGGACACTGTCGTTAAAGTTCCGACCAAGCAAGGCAGCGTGGTTGATCTCCCCCTCCAAAAAGGCCAATACGTATTTATTGATTTCATTGGCATAAGTCGGTGGTATTCTCTCTCAATCATACTGTTACTGATCGTATCAGATTACTCAGATCGATACTATACCAACCCTGCACAGTACATTCCCGAGCGCTGGCTGGACTCGTCGATCGAACAAGGAGTGACCTTCAGTGCTGGACCCCGAATCTGCCTGGGGGAAAACTTCGCCATGACCGAGGGTGTCGCTGTGCTGGTGATGCTGATAAGGGACTGGAAGATCGAACCCGAACTCCAGGAGGGTGAGACACATCAGGAGTGGCGACTGAGGTGCGTGGACAACTCAGTGGCCTCTAGCATTGGCTTTGTTCCAACCGGGTTTCCACTGGTTTTCACCAGACGAAAGAAGAGGACCACTGACGTACGTGACAAGTCGCTTCTGCGGTCGCGCTGTCTTGGTATCTTGTCGAACTGGAACGACGCTTCCATGCATTCGCTTGAGCGCAAAGGCTTCTTGTTCGACGACGTGCTGGCCCTCCATACCATCTTTTCCTGTGAGATATCGGTATTCCATGCAGCAATTCATCCTAGCTTTATTCCCTTAAGCTGGATCCATGATTTTGGCACTTCTGAAGAACCGCAAATGCTAAAGATAGACTCCCACGTGCCCTGGCGGTCCCGCACTTTGCATCGTCCCGTGCGCCTCTTCAGGGCACGCTTCATCGAAGCTCATGATTTATCTGACTCGCGTAGCTCTGGAAGCTATCCTTTGCTTCATTCGTGACCATCTCTCTGGGACATAAGAGTGGTGACTTATGGCTGATAAAAGGGGTAGTGAACGGATGGTGTATGTCGTGCTTACACCAACCTTGGCTCTTGCAAAACGATGCTGAACTGGATGCTGATCGCGGCAATTTTGATAGCAACGTGGGTATTTTATTGCCTTCATAACTTTCGTCGGCAGGTCGCAGTATGTTCGTTCACTCATTTTACGTGAAAAGGGGGTTGATTGTTCCATTGGCAGAGCGTCCAGTATTTGCCAGGACCACGACACCTGTTTTCACCCTTTTCAGTAGTCGGTTCAATTTTCCCAACTACCAGTTAGAATGCCGGCCTCCTCATGAATTGGATGGGACGCGTTTCGAGCAAGTAGCTTTGCAACCCTTCTCCAACAGTTGCTAACAACCCGCAGTGTGGGATAAATATGGAAGTGGCGTCATCGCGGTGGTTCCCATCATTCCCGGGCACTCGGTCCTTTACACTCGCTCAATCGAAGTTGCGAAGCAAGTCCTGTCTGCGAAGTCGGATTGGTACAAGGTCCCAGAGCAAGTCAATGCATTAGCGCAAGTTGCTTCAACACAACAATGATGATAAATGCACACTGACTGAAGAGAAGTCTTTTTGGAGAAAATCTGTTTTCTTGCTTTCAAGACAATTGGCAAAGACATCGCCGTGTTGTAGGGCCGGGGTTTCGAACAAAGCTGTAAAGCCGCGGATTACTTTTATTTTCACATCAATCTGAGATCTGAGATCTGAATAGTTTCGAACAAGTTTGGAAGGAAAGCCTGAGGACGTACTATGATATGATACAGGTCGAAGGGTGGGATTGTCGTACGGGTTGTCATCGCCACGACGACGTCACCATTATGAGTAGGAAGGTGAGTTTCTTTCGTTAGCGACTGTGTACCTCGTTGATAAGAGTACAGATCGCTCTCCATCTTATTGCTGTTTGCGGGTTTGGTATTCGGCTCGGCTGGGATGATGCCGTCGGTGATAAAGTCCGAGGAATGACAAGTGCTTCCAAATCGCCTCAGCCTCAGTCTAGGCACAAATATTCCTTCCCAAATGGGTATTTCGCTTGCCAATTCGATAGTACGTCACTAGTCGTCTCGCGCACAAGCAGGGTCTGAAGGACAATGAGTAGTTTACGGAGAGTTCGAGAGGCGAATTTGGTAATTTGAGTCGATTCTTCGTCAAATGATCGGACAGCGAAAGTCGGAGGGTCTTAGACCGGAACAAGAAGAAAATGCACAAGATGTATTCAATCTGCTCCTTAATGCGAATGAAGACGAGCCTGACAGGAGAACCACCTTGAATGATCGAGAACTCATCAGCAATGTCTTCCTCCTTCTGGTTGCCGGTCACGAAACTACCAGCCATGCACTAGCGTCGTCTCTTGGGTTGTTGGCTTGCCATCCGGACGTGCAGGAAAAAGCATTTCAGGAGATTGTGTCCATTGTGCCAGACGGGCGAGATCCAGTGAGTAGCATTCTTCTTCGAGGTAACTCTTCCTGATGGGGGTGGCTGGTGCAGACTTATAACGAGTCCGAATCACTTCGATATGTTCAAGCATGTTTTCTCGAGGGGATCAGGATATTTCGTATGTCGTCTTGCGCGGCCATCATTCTAGCCATTGCTGACGGACCACTGGCAGCGAGTGTCGCTGGCTTGCCTCGGTGTGCAACTGTCGACACATCCCTGCAAGTGCCCGACGGTGCTGATCGCAAGGATATATTCATAAAGAAAGGCCAGTACATGGTTCTTGACCTATTCGCCATCAGCTATAACTCCGCCTACTACCCAAATCCGGACCAGTATATCCCCGAACGCTGGCTGGATCCCAACACAGAGCCAGGCATAAACTTCAGCACCGGCCCTCGGGTATGTGTCGGTAAGAAGTTCGCCCTGACCGAGGGGACCGCAATTCTCGCGATGATCATTCGAGATTGGAAGATCGAGCCGATGTTGAAGGATGGAGAGAGTCTGCAGGAATGGAGATTGCGCTGCTTAGATAACTCCGTTGCTAACTCGCTTGGGTTCGGGCCCACTTCGTTTCCGTTGCGCTTTAGGAGGCGGATTTGACGTGAATGGTGATGGTACGCGTCGTCGAGTAAGTATATGCCGGGAGAGCAGAACATAAATGCTGAATTCAATGTGCGACCGATAGATTGAGACCTAGCCGAAAGTCCACAGTATCGTCACATGGTTGGCGATTGTTGCCCAAAGTGTACGAGTGCCCTTCTCCTCGCGTCCACTGTGCACAATCACCGTGTCGAGAGTCGGCAATCCTCTCTTCTGCCAGGTTTGAACGAAATCCGGGAGATCTTGCTTATCGCAGTCCGCACTGAGGGAAAGTTCGAAAGTCCTCAGTCGGCCGAGGAATATGCGGCCTGTGGCTGCCTGGTGTTCTATCCCGCGTATCAACCTTCTCAATATCCCACGCCCTGCGATCGTAGATAGTGCGAGTCCATTAACATTCGGGATCGCCTCGAGGGCTTCGTATATCCCGTGCCATTCCCAGTGGCACTTGTCAAAGCGCATCTCCCGGAGTGATGGGATACACGGTACGTTCGGGAGTGGACTGTCGATCCCATACGCGCCGTATAGGTGTAGGGAAGCAAGGCTGGGAAGGGAGAACGACGAGAGGAGCGCGCGGATGTCTCCTCCTTTCATATGGGCAAGCTTGATGGACTTGAGATCCGGCAGGCAGGTGAGAGGAGGGACCTTCCAACTTGCTAAACGAGCTGTGGCTTCCGAGTCTGGAGGAGGGTGAGGCTGGACATCCTCAGCTCTTGAAGCGCCGGACATCGACATAGGAACTCGGTCACGTCCGCTAGGGGTACCCAGAGGGAGCGATCGATGTTGTAACATGCGCCGGACAGCTCTTCGATGAAGAAGCTCTTTAAGCTCGGCCATTCTGTGTTGCCGAGGCGTGAGAAGAGGTCGGTGGATCGACACGTTAAGTGATCTTGGATTTCGAGATGCTCGATCCGTTCTGCTATTGTGGGCGTTTGAGCGCAGAACCGGATCAGCTGGGGAGAGAACAATGTCCCCGTTGATAACACTTGATATCGGTGAATACCGCTTCGCTCCACAGTGGTCGAAGGCGGACAGCAGTGCTCAGGTCCTCGATAGAGCTTGGTCCACAACAACGGTAGACGGGCGGAGATTAAGTACCACCTCCGGCAAACTCCAGATAGGGAGTGCCGAAAGTGAAAGTAGTGGCCCATGAGCTGCTTGGTGAAGTCTTTGGAGGCGACTTCGTGCTCTTCTAAGAAGAGGATATATGCGGTCTCGAACAGCAACATGAGGATGTCGTCCGGAAGTCGATCCATGATATTGGTCGGACCTGACAGAAATCAGCTTTAGAGGTAGAATAAGGCGACTCAGATGAGCTCACGACGGGCATCCATGCTTTTCACAACACTGACCGACATTAAGATTGAAAAGGTAGAGATGGCTTGCTGCACAGTTGTAGCCAGAGATGCGCCAAAAGGGAGACGCAAGCAAAAAGTTGGCCTGCAGCTTTATATTGCAGAGAGCTCCGGGAATGGCTGAATCGACTGCCATCTATACCAGCCTTTGCCGTAAACGGCGGCAAGTGCGCGATGAAAAGCGGCGGGTTGCTGGGCGACGACGACCAGCCATCGGTATTGTCCCAGCCATCAGTGCCGACGGTGCTCGAAGTTGTCCCAGACCGAGAATACGGCATACAGCGGGCAGGACATGGTCGCTGATACCAATTCAGAGAAATGTTGGTGAATATTCGGGGATGCTCTGTCGGGTTGTTCACGCCGCACAAACAAACAACTGCGAGCACACCTGACGACTAAACAAAAGGCAGTCACACTACCAATTCTTCATCTTTTCTGAAATTGATAGTCTGCGCACGCGTAAACAACGTAGCAGTAGCGTGTCCTTTATTCCGGAGGTGAACCGCAGTAGAGCGCTGCAGCGGCGTGGTCGGCGTATGGGACGGGTGACTGTCGTTGACGCGCCTTACCCCGCAACTCACGGGAATTGCCCTGCATCTATCACCTACACAGCGCCTCCTATTCTTGACAGCGGGCCTATCAGAGCATCTGGAAACCCGAACACATATGGATTTGCTAGCGGAAATGTGCATATCCGTGCTGGCTCTAAATGTTATTTGGCCCGCGTAGGACATGCACAGGGAGGGAGGACAAGTCCTGGTCTGCACAGCACATCCAACCAGAGCACATACCCGGTAGAGTCACGCATAATCAGCGTGTCTGGATCGTATATCAGGGGTTAAGTGGTACGCCAGCGCTTTACTGCCTTGCATTTGACTGACTAACTGACGACCGACAGGACACAAAGATGAAGCACTCCAACGACCGCGACTCTATACGCTCTCTTGACGGGAGCGAGGATGGCCATGCCCGCCAAGCGCTAGAGAAGCTCAGTCAGGAGCTACCTCAGGAGCAGACACTCGGGGATGAGGAAGAAGAGGAACTTCTCCGTTGCAGTGTCTGTGGATACAAGTACTCCTGTGCGACCTGCATCCTCTACGGCGTCGCTGCTCGCTGGGCAGCCAGTACGTCCACCTCCTCTGGCTTATCCACCGTTCCCGGACTCTCCCCTTCACCGAGCGATATTTCCGCCTCTTCCTCAAGTCCGCTCCCTGCTGCTCGCTTGCTCCGACATGTCCGACCATGTTCAGCCCCTCCTGCGTCCTCCAAACCCCCTGGGCCTGATCTGGACGACGTCTGTAGCGTGTACTGCGTAATCTGCGACACATTCTACTCTTACCCTGTCCACAACCCCCCGCGGCAGGTAACGGAGAGGTGCACGCACTTTGAGCGAGCGTGCGAGGACTGCATACAGACTTGGCTCGAGACTCTTATCGAGAGACCGGGGCATATGCATTGTCCCATAGTGAGATGCGCAGAGGTGCTCAGGTATGAAGATGTCAAGTACTGGGCAGGAGCGGAGACATGGGAGCGGTGAGTGTCCATGCTTGTGCACAACTGGATACATGTTGATTCTCTGCATGCGATGCGGTTCTTGGGATCCCATAGGCACGAGTCCCTCATCCTGCGACGGTACCTCTCAGCCTTACCAGGCTTCTTCTGGTGCCTCAATCCCCGCTGCTCGAGTGGTCAATACCATATCACCTCGCCCCCGCTGCACCCCTCTTCCCCTTTCCCGACAGGACACACCAACCCCACCGTCTCCCATTCTCCATCCCCTCCTTCCAAATCAGCCTGCGATCCCCAGATCATAACCTGTCACGCCTGCGAATCCCGTTCCTGTGCCCACCACCAGATCCCGTGGCACGAAGGGCAGACATGCGCGGAGTATGATCGCGCGCATGAGGGATGGCTCGATCCTGTTCGGAGGAGGGAGAGGGGCGTGAGACGCTGGATTGGGAGGAAGACCAAGAAATGCCCTGGGTGTGGGAGGGATGTAGGTCTCTTATCCTTTATTCACCACTGGGGTTATCGATATTGGGTACCAAGGTTGACATATAGGCAGATTGAAAAACACGATGGATGCGACCACATGACCTGTCGCCCTCCTGTCGGTTGTGGCGCCCAGTTGTGCGTTCGGTCTTATTCTCGTTTTGGCTATGATAGCTGACACTATTCACCAACCAGTTGCTGGCGGTGCGGTGCAGACTACTCGACGATCTTCACCTTGGGCGTGGACCACCATAAGCGGTGGTGTAGATACTACAGACCGAAGAACCCTATACACTGGAAGTTCTGGAGAAGGAAAGTGGTCTGGGAACCTATGCCCGATGTGAATTGGTAGTTTCGCGGGAATGGAGCAAGGTCTGTAGGGCGGTGCAGATATATTGCATATTAATCTGTGACATGGGCGTGTGCCCATTACGATGAAAACAATAATGATGCTCGATGATCTGTATGCATATGCATGGACCACAATTGGTTGAGCACCTAGACCGCTGGAATTTCCCACCTGGACTTGCGCCATATGGCGTTTGGTTTTGTCCCCCTCACGACAGCGCCTCAAGTATTGCTATTTACTTTTGAGGGCTTATCGACCGCTAAACGTCTCCCACACAAAATAGGGGCAACTGTTTACCTTATCCTCTCTGCACACATGGTCATATTGCCGCCCAAATGGCCAAATTCAGAGGGGGCACTGCACAGTGACCCTGTGCCGTTCCGCCGAGTCGGGAGAGGCGGGCCTCATGTCAAGGTATCATTAGCTGCTGGCTGATGCCAAGTCATGTGCATTCCTATCCTCGGGCGTGTATAAAGGGGTGATGGGGATATTTTGATATTGGACACCTTGTTACTCACTGCTACCTGTACTGATTGCGCGATGCCTTTCCCTGCCAGAGATCCAGAGTCCGTTGAGCGTACGCGCATCCTACTTGCGCAAATCGCCAAACATGTCGATCTCAAGCAGAAAGGAAAGGCGCTTGCACTCCCGTTTGACCAACGGCCCCAGCTGGCAGATAACCAACAGGAATCGTCACCATCAGTCGACGACCCCTTCCGCTGCCTCACCTGCGGATTCCGTTTCTCCTGCTCACGATGTATAGCAGGGAACACAGCCGAGCTGTGGGCTTATTCCCCCTCAACCCTCCCAGAAGGCGCCGTTTGGTGTCTTTCGCGAGAAGACTACGAGCAGCAAGCAGAAGCGCTTGGATTCCCCCCACTGGCGACTCCCTTGCCTGTGAGGAATTGGAGTTGCGCGATCTGTTGCCAGAGTCAAAGAACACCTTTCCCACGCATCACGAGCAAGTGCAGACACGAGCAAGGGGTTTGCCTGGAATGCCTTAGGCGATATATGGAGTTCCAGACGGAGAGGATGGAAGTGCGCTGTCCGATTACGAGTTGTGGGAATGTGCTGGAGTTCGAGGACGTAAAGAGGTGTGCAGAGAAGAGCGTGTTTGAACGGTGCGCTTTGCCCCATTCTTTGAAGATCTACTTAGCGCTAATCCTTTTTTAATCGGAAATAGATACGACAAATTCCTTTTGAATAGGCATCTAGCCACGGAAGAGGAATTTGTCTGGTGTCATGATCCCAAATGCGGGTCGGGATACTTCATCCCCAGTTCTCGTTCCTCACCGTCACCGTCCACTACCACCTCACCCTCGTCCATAATAACGATCTCTATTTCCGCGCCTGCTTCTACACCGCCCACGTCTATCGCGTCCCCCAAGTCCTCGCCACCCTCAACATCACCCACCCAATGCCCGCTCATCCACTGCCCCACCTGCCAGTCGCCTACGTGTGCGCACCACCTCCGGCCATGGCACTCCAACATGACCTGTGCACAATACGACCGCCAACAGCTGGGTCTAGGTCCGCTTGGCGTGCTAGGGAAGCAATGGAGACAGGGTACGAAAACGGGATGGTGGATAAAACGGAAGACCAAGCCGTGTCCTGGATGTGGAATTAAAGTGCGTCCTGCGGTCCTTTGTTGCTCCGGGAATGTAAATGTTAATTGATCTTGTAGATCGAGCGGTCAGAGGGATGCGACCATATCACTTGCTACCCACCCGCTGGTTGCGGTTATCACTTGTGCGTTCCCTTTTATTCGTTGGCTGCTGCCTACCCGCTGACCCAGGATAATTTCTTTCTCTTAGTTGCTGGCGCTGCTCTGCCAACTACACGCTCATATTTCAGGTGGGAAACCACGCGCATAAGCGCTTTTGCAGGCACTGGAGGTCCGAGCGCGGATCTGGTTGGAGGCTTTGGAGAGGCAGAAACTGAGCTCTCGACCAAGCCTGATTCACCCGATCTTCCGTTATGTGGTAAGCTATTTGATTGAAGAAAACTCCCGGCTGTTTTCATTGTATCTATGGGTCTCCCCGGGAGAATGGGTATGAAAATCGTCGTCATTCATTGTCAAACACAACTCTGAAACATGTTGTACGAATATATGTAACAACCACACCTCTTTTGAATGCGATTGAATTTCAAATATTTTCACCTCGGTATCTTCCTCGATCAGCCGCTTGTTCTGTGTTGTGAGGAAGCATGAGCGTGCGCTTATTTAACCACGCTGGTTTCTGGCAGTGCAGAAGGTAACGCATGTCTTGGTGCTGGTTTTCCGGTAGTCACGGCTTTATTCAAATTGACACCGACATGAAAAAGTAGAGATGCAGTGTCGAACTGCTGTGGACAAGTCAAAATTGTACGATGGCAGGTCTTGCTCTGCACGAAATGGTGCAAGTATGCAGTCACAAAGCGATTACGCAGGTACGGGCCGAATCGGCCCGATTGACAGCACCGGAGATCAGACGGAAAGAAATGTACACCCTTCTGACGTGGCACCAGCCCTGTGAGGACGACGACAACGATGACAACAACGACGACAACGACAACAACAACGACGACGACATATTCATTTTGGAGGACAATAAGACTGTACCGCATATCCTGCGACCTCAACTCAACTACACTTGGCGACTTACTCCTGTGCATTGCCGCGATCGTTGCGATACGCACGGTTCCTCCTCTGCTGCTCCCTTCTCAGCCGGATGTGCAGCCAGTTGTTTATGTGCTTTCTTTTGGCCTCGAATTGCTTGTTGTCTTCATGAAGTGAAATGGGTATTGGGATGCAAGCAGACTTGCGGCTCATATTATCTGTTTGTTCTGTTGCGCTTCTCTTGCCGACCAAGCGTTGGAGCCCAGGCCTCTCGATGGTCTCGTCTGTCCTTTGCAGGAGTACAGCTTGAGAGCTTGCTGCGGTTACCCGCTCAAGATCATCAAGAACTTGAGTAGGATCGCCGCATATGGCACGGCATGAGGTAATGTATTCAACGTGCTAATCCCGAACCGCACGTGTTGGGACTCTTGGCCAGCAGGGAATCATCAGCTGTGTACTTGACCGTGCAAAGTGCCGCTACGTATGCCAAACATGACTGACACATTCACCAGGGAACGTGCCAAGGACATCCACGCGCATCGAAGTCACAATTATCGTCGGCATCCTGCCACAAGTCTCATGAACAAGATGAACAAAAGGACACAACTAGACGTTTGACCGAGGAGCTGGGAAAATCACGTGACTCTTACTACTTTTTCAATACAAGAGCACACCCCTCAAACCACCTCTATATATGTCTGTACAGCAAGGATAAAATGAATTTTCAAACGGAGAATATGTAACAGCCACCATTCGTCCTGCTACCGCACGTCTGATTTCCCGGCCTGGCCCTCATTTATTGCGGTACAGCACAGCCGCCCCTGGTATCCTGAGACGCGCTCCCCATTGATACAGCCATAACATCATACAGGATGGCGTGTTTCTGGTCCACGCTTGAGCTGATACGGCGTTTGACGACCCCGTAGGGCCCATAGGAGGACAGGAGAGGTACATATACGGGGGCAAGAAGCCAGTAAGCTCCCATCAGCGTTCCAGGCCCATTTACTCACCACACCCCCAGCACTCTCGACACCCACCCCTCCCAACATACACCTACACAAACACCATGCGCTCCACCCTCCTGTTCACAGCGGCGCTCGCTCTCCTCCCTAACCTCACCGCCGCTTTCCCGCTGATGGTACAAACCCTCCCCAGGTCTGGCCTGTACAAGCGGGACGACTTCGGCGAAATGTTTCCCCTTTCTCCGCGAGAGGAGTCCGAGCCTCTGTTTAGGCGGAGAGATATCTACGGCGAGGTGGTGGAGCTGAGTGAGAGGGAAGAGACGGCCGCGGCGATCAGGAGCAAGTGGAGTCGGGAGTACGAGAGAGAGTACGAGAGGGACTACTGGGGCGATGTTCCCAGTGCGATGGAGTAGATGCAAGTGAGTCGATTTTCATCCCTGTTAAAGGTATCACACTGACTCTTTTCAAGCACGCATGTCTCCATGCGACGACCGATTCATGAACCTACAAGATGACCAGCATCTCCTCAGTTGAGTGCGCAACATGTCAAGGAGCCACACCGATACCCCGCATAATTTGTATACCAATACACTCGCAGAGCGAGTCCTTTTCCTAATGTAATTCCTATTGTAACAGAACGCTCTTTGTTTAAGACCTAGTGTAATATCACTGTTCCCCTCCTTTCTCTCTGGTACTGGTTCGACGTTTGAGCAATGTAGAAGTCTCCTGTTCGTTGGTTCTCCATGCTTTTGACCACCTGTGCCGGATTTCCATTGCAGTCGGCGATATCCCAGCTATTCAGCTTGCCGCAATTCAAAGGTCGACCCCGCATACCATGTTTCCTTTGCAAACACCGACTGAAAATCCTCGATACGTGCCCCACGCATCACGTGCTCTAGCGCGGTTCATGGAAAGTGGCGCGGTTCATGGGTTTTCTGTTTGTTTGCCAAACGCCGACAAATATGACGCACGTCGACACAGCCACGAATTGGATGCTGTTAATGCCGACAGTCCAGACTTTTCGGTCACACGCTTTTTGAGACTTGTTTGGTTTAGGACGAATGGCCTTCATGCCAGCCAGGAATGCTGCACGCTAGCAGACACATCACGAGGAAGTGCGGACTACGGCTACTGTCATAGGTATATAACCCTGACAACTCGAAGCTGAACGCCAAACAACAGCCTCATCCTTCGACTAGCCGTTGAACAACTCGACTCGTACAATGTCTCTTCCCACACGCAAGATTGGCACGACTTCCGTTCCTATTCCCGGATATGGGCTAATGGGATTCTCCGCACTCTATGGCACCACTGCCTCTGAGGAAGAGTTCTTGCCCGTGTTCAAGGCAGCATATGATGCTGGGTGCAGGATGTGGGATACGGTGCGTGTCTCTCCATTACTGAGATAACGTGAATCTTACGATGTTGTTTACCATCGGGATAGGCGGATGTATACGGAAGGAAGGGGCTGCATGAGAATGAACGCCTGCTCGCAAAGGCTATGAAGGAGCTCAACATCCCAAGGAACGACATCTTCCTCTGTAGGTCTTCTCCTGGTCACGCTCAACGTCCTCATGTTGAACATCCTGGTAGGCACCAAATTTGGCGCTTTGGCAGGATTCGTTGGTGTCCGTGGTGACCCTGAGTACGTCCACTCCGCATGCGCTGCTTCCCTCGAAGCCCTCGGAACAGACCACATCGACCTCTACTACCAGCACCGCGTGGATCCCAAAACGCCTATCGAGGACACAGTGCGAGCGATGAAAGAGCTCCAAGATCAGGGAAAGATCAAGTACATCGGTCTGTCCGAGTGCAGTGCCGACACGCTCAGGAGGGCGAGCAAGGTCGCCAAGATCGACGCGGTGCAGATCGAGTACTCGCTTTTCTCGACCGATGTGGAGACGAATGGGATCCTGGACGCGTGTAAGGAGTTGGGCGTCACGTTTGTCGCATACTCCCCTCTGGGGAGAGGGTTCTTGGTACGCATATACTTAGGTTTCGTGTCGTTTCGAGAACATATCCATGGTGTTATCAGGCCGGGCGGTTCAAGAGCAGGGGTGACCTCTCTGCTGGAGACTGGAGGCTTACGGTTCCCCGGTTCAGCGAGGAGAACTTCCCCACGGTATGCTGTACTACTTCCTTCGGAACTGCGTCTTGACCCTTCGGCAGAACCTCGATCTCGTGAACAAAGTCTCCTCCATCGCTCACGCTAAAGGCTGCACTCCCGCTCAGCTTGCGCTTGCCTGGCTCCTCGCTCAAGGACCTAACGTGTTTGTCATCCCCGGTACGACGAGGAAGGAGGCGTTGTTGGATAACATTGGTTGCGCGAAGGTGCACCTGACTGACGGAGAACTCGCTGAGGTAAGCTGCGTGGACTATACCGGTGCGGAAATCTAATTCAACGACCGCAGATCCGCAAGATTCTGGACCAGTTCCCCGTCGCCGGTACGCGGTATAACGCATCCGTGATGCATACAGTAAACATGTAAGAGCCGAATGTTATGAACCATGCTGAAAATCGAAATCCCATGGGCCGATTACATCGTCGTGCGTCTCCGGTGCTCCGGCATATCGCTGACTTGTGTGGATTCGATCCACGCATGGAATCCCGAGATGATCTGTTGACATCAAGAGCGCCCAACTTGATGAGCCATCCACGTTCACGATCCGGCCAAGTATCTGACCAAGTCACGTCCGACCTCTCGTCCACACCTCAAAGCGTCCCCCCATCTGTCAGTTACTGTCACGTAAATTCAGGCGTGTGGACCTGACCCTGAGGCGCCCGACTGATCCCCATGCTTTATATGAGCTTCTTTGGAAGCTGCTGGTTGGCAATTGAGCGAGCAACGTGGATCAAATGAGTGAGCAGTCACATTCTGCCTTTGTCTGACAATGGGCTCTCCCTGCTGAATCTTGCCCTGCCTATGTGGAGAGTTGTCTGTCTGAACAAAATATCATCTTCTCCCTCCTGACTCACTATGGGTGCTTCTTTGTCTGGACGGCCATATGGGATGATTTTCGTCAACCAAGATATATATCGCTCCATATGACTGTCAGTTACCCAGCGTGGTTGTCAACAGACTTGTACCGATTCTATCACCTCGCGTTCAAGAAACCAAGTCCAACATGGCTCTCCCCTTCCAAGCGCTCTCCCTCACCTCGCACAAGCAGACGACTCCCCTCACACTGCTGCCCTTCACCGAGCCCGAACTAGGCACGGGAGAGCTACTGATTCAGAACGTAGCGGTCGCACAGAACCCGGTGGACTGGAAACAGATCGACTTTGATTTTAACATCCCTAGCTTGCCCTTCGTCCCGGGTGCTGACATAGCTGGGGTGGTATACAAGGTCGGCCCGAGTGTGGAGGGCTTCAAAGGTGGGGATAGGGTAAGTGCGCTGCTGCTGTAACTGCCAATGCTGAACTGCGCTGCAGGTCATCTCCTGGCTGACCCGAAAGACCGCTCGTCATGGCGGTTACCAGACATACAGCATCGCCTCTCACGGGCGCACATTTCATCTTCCTGAGTGTTATTCGTTCGAACAAGGCTGTACAATCACTGCGGCATTCGCCAGCGCCGGTGCGGGCCTGGAGCACGGTTTGGGCGTAGAACTGCCCATAACGCCCGCTAAGTGGCCTGCGGAGAGCGATGGAGAGCCATTGTTGGTTTGGGGCGGATCGAGCAGCGTCGGTGCCTTCGGTATGCTCGTATTGGCTTCACACTCCATGTGCGCTAATGCAGGATGGGGATAGTGATCCAGACCGCCAAGGCCGCGGGGTACACGGTGTTTTCTACCGCCTCGCCCAAGAATCATGCGTATGTCAAGTCGCTCGGCGCCACCGAGGTGTTCGATTACCACGATCGTATGTATCTCCTCTACCTCACACCTTGCTAACCCAAGTTGACGGGTTTCCCAACAGCGGACGTCGTTAGCAAGATCCGTGCCTCAGTTGGCCCAAACCTCTCAAAGATCTTCGACAGCATCTCCGAGAACGGCTCAATCGAAGCCTCCGTAGCGAGCATCACAGCTCCCTCGGGGATCGTAGCCGTCATCCTCGCTCCCAAGGCAGAGCAGTCCACCGCAACCGTTCGCGTTGTCCAAACCGGCGCTCTCAAGACGTCGGAACCCGAGATCGGCCAGCGGGTGTTTGGACTCTTGAACGCTCTCCTCCAGAACGGGAGCCTTGTGCCTAATCCTATCAAGATCATGCCTGGAGGATTGTTGGGCGTGAATGAGGGCCTCCAGCTGGGGAGAGAGCATAGGATCTCTGGGGAGAAACTTGTGTATGTGGTCGCTGATACCAAGTTTTGAGCATCAGGTTCAAAAGCAGCAAGTTACAAATCAAGAATGGAGAGTTTGCATGATGTATGGTGTCCCTCAGTTCCGTTGCAACGTGCCCAGTCAGAGCCCCAATCATGAGGCACGTGTTAGTGGACGATTTACTTCGAGAAAGAGCCACTGGATTGCAACGAGTAAAAAGAGTCGTTCGGAGTTGTATCATGATACCCCGCGTTAGTGCCTTGTCATTGGACGGGGAAACATATCCGAATTGGGAGATATCTGGTTTCCTGCTGATGTGATTTAATCGTGAACTGAGTAAGAAAACAAGTTGTCGTCTTACCAAGCTTCCTTCCCACCATGGAACATTGATAATCAGGGCCTTTTCCTCTAATGAATTGCGCCATCATTATCTGTCTCTTGCTTACGTCCACTCATCATCTCTTACGTCTATCTCGTGCTGGCTGGCGACACCGATCCTATTAGCGGGCCGAACTTGAGGCGGAATGGTGCGAAAAGGACGGACGAGATATGTCGCCATTCGCTCGATACAACCAGTCAACCTGTCAGCTGACAAACCCACCATGGTACTATTTATACCCACTGTCAATGATTATTCCCCGTACTTTAACCCAGATTTCCACGGATTTGGACAGTTCGCTACCTTGAATACAACTATATAAGATGGCTCTACCTTTCATAGCGCTCTCCATCACTGAGCACCATCAGAAGACGCCTCTTACTCTTCTGCCATTCGACGAGCCCCAGCTAGGCGAAGGCGAGCTACTCATCGCCAACGCCGCCGTAGCCCAGAACCCAGTGGATTGGAAGCAGATTGACTTCGATTTTGGTATACTGGGATTGCCGTGGGTCGTCGGTGGGGATGTGGCAGGAACGGTGTACAAGGTTGGGCCTGGGGTTGAGGGATTCAAAGTCGGCGACCGGGTGCGTTTCACACCCTTCTCTTATATCCCTCTTCAAATGCGCTACTTCAGCTAGCTAATCCTAACCCAGGTAATCTCCTTCGTCTCTCGCACAACAGCGCGCCACTCCGCCTTCCAAACCTACAGCATCGGCCTCGCCTCCCGCACCGTCCCCTTGCCCAGCACCTACACCTTCGAACAAGGAAGCACTATCCCGCTGACGTTCGTGACCGCCGGTGCAGGGCTGGAAGCCGCTTTGGGGATCAAACTTCCCGCACCTCCTGCTCAGTTACCGGAAGCGAGCAAAGGCGAGCCTCTGCTCGTCTGGGGAGGGTCGAGTTCTGTAGGCGCGTTTGGTACGCCTCACCTTCACCAAGGATGGATATTAGCTGATGAGGCCAACAGTCATCCAGCTCGCGAAGGTTGCGGGATATACAGTTCTTTCCACCGCTTCACCCAAGAATCATGCCTACGTAAAGTCCCTTGGCGCTTCAGAGGTATTCGACTACCATGACCGTAAGCCCCCTCCCCTCCCCTTCCCCCACAAAGTAACTAACAGCGGTATTAGCCGACGTGGTTAACAAGATCCGCCTCGCTGCCGGACCGAACCTCTCCAAAGTCTACGACAGCATCTCCGAAAACGGCTCTATCGAAGCCAGCGTGGCGAGCATCACCGCCCCTTCGGGGGTTGTAGCGGCCATCCTCACTCCCAAGCCAGAGCAGAGCACAGCTAGCGTGAAGGTCGTACAGACCGGCGCTATACGGGCGCAAGAGAATCCAGAGATTGGCAAGAGGGTGTATGGTGTCCTTACCGCGTTGCTTGAAAAGGGACTCTTGGTGCCCAACCCGGTCAAGGTCATCCCTGGCGGCCTGTTGGGGATCAATGAAGGCCTACAGCTTGGACGAGAACACAAAGTTTCGGGGGAGAAGCTGGTGTATGTTGTTGCCGACACTAAGTTCTGAGCATGCGTATGGTTGGAAGACATGAGTCTGAGCAAGAAAAGAAATAAAGAAGAAGTGTTTTAGTACAGTACCGTGGTGTGGGTATGCTTGTCGAAGGATCTGTTCAAGTACCTGTATGGAATGATCTGTCTAAGCGCCCTGCCCTCATTCTCAGCAAACCAACCCATCTCTTCTCTAAAGATCGTCCTCGGCATGCGAATGCCCCTTAACCTTCGCCTCCAGCCTCTCCACCATCCCTCTCCTAGGCAACAAAGCCCCGACCTCCCCAACCCCTACCTCTGAGTCCCAGACCCACTCCTCCCAAACTGACTCATCCCCTGGCTTGAGCAAACAGATAGCTCCATCCGCTTCCTCATCCACAAATTCCTCTTGCAGAGCAGAGGCACTCACGGTGAGGGCGTCGTACACCCATGGCTTGGGCTGGAGGTCATACGTGCATGTAGGACCTGGGGAACCGACGAATGAGGTAGGACCCGAGAGGACGTTGGCGTGCACGCTGAACTGTTTCGCTCCGGAGATGGCGATCGCATACCCGAACGCGCCGGTGAAGACGTTATTCTTGACCGACCCATGCGCTACATACCGCTCAGAATCGTATTTGTCCCCAAACCAGATCCTGGATCCCACGGCGATGCCAACTTTGACGAACGCGTCCAGTTCCTTCGGGTCTGCCGGATCTCGGCCTGGCACCCCCCCGACGACAAGGTTGTGTTGTACGATCGTGCCCGAGTAGTCTCCTTCCCAGGGATCATAGTCGACCATGTTGATCCCTCCCAGCAGAGTGCGATTCACGGCCCAGATCGTGTTCCTCTCTATCAGACTCCCCGGTGCGCCGAAGACGACAATCCCTCCGTCTGTAGCGTCACGTATGAGGTTGCCAGCGACGTAGCTCTCCTTGCAGGAAAGGCTGATCCCGTCAGCCCACTCTTCGTACTCGCTAAACCCACATGGACCAATATCGTTGTTCACCACTGTCGCCTTCGAGCAAGCGTGCTGGCCTTCATGAAAATGCAGGCAGCTCCAGGACCGGGGGTCGTAGCTCCTCGTGAACTCCACTAGCTGGCCGGTATTACTCCCGCCAAGAGCGATATTCGCCCCTCCGCCGGGGAGGATGTCCGCGTCCGGATCTCTTTGGCCGTCGACTTGGATATACCGGACTTTGACACGATCGCATCCGCGGCATTGGCCGTTGATCGCCGTGCTGTGGTTGGCGTTCACCCCCGACAGATGACCCGCGACAACGAGTGTTGCTCTGGTGTGATCGGTAGGGAAACCAAGGGTGAGGATCTCCTGGTCTTGGGCGGTGAAGTTTAACGGGTAGTCGAGTTTGTAGGTCTGTCCAGGACAGAGGGAGAGGATGTCACCTGGGGCTTGGAGGTGGGATTGGAGGCGGGCGGTGAGCCCCCAGTCGGGGAAGGCGGAGACGCAGGTCGGGGAAGGGGGAAAGTGTGGGAGGGGATGTTCTTGTTGGAGATGTTCTGGTTGGAGATGTTGTTGTTGGCTGTCGGTGGGGGCAAGGGGGACCTTCCGTAGCCAGGGGAGGGCAGAGGCTGGTGAGAAGAGTGCGAAGAGGGGTAAGAAGAACATGTTGAACGAGTGTAGTAACGAATGTTGCTGATGTGTGGCCTAATAGCCTGCCAGTGAGAGAAAGAGGGAAACAGCGTTCTCCTAGAGATTAAAGAGTACGTGTTGGCTGAAGAGGCGTCGCTGCTGTTGAGCTGCAGGCGCTGTTTGTGTGCTTGTGGCCGTTATGTACAGGCCGTAGAAGACGTTCAGCTTGGAGGGTTGACGATAACGGGCTGACTGGCAGGTGACAGCGGAAACCGAAGACAAACAAGTAGGATTCCTGAGACGGTCGAGGAGGCCAGCAGCTCACCAAGCAAGCTTCTACCAGACAAAGGGGGTCATGTCTCGTCCCCTTCTTCCTTACATGCGTCAAGCTGTGTTTACCCTTCCGCTGAGTGTTGACATTCCACGTTCTACATTCCAGACAGGCCTGAAATCAGCTTTAAATTTAGCAAAGTTTTGAGCAGAATCCTCAGATCTGACATGTCCCACGATCGGTCAAAGAAGGCGCCGATGTTGACAGAGAGGGAGGAGGAGAAGCTTGTTCCCTGAACAACTTTGGTGGCAGTGTACAGATTGAATAGGTTGACGTCATACTACTGTTTAGGAGGATAAGAAAAGTGTGTTGGAGAATATATATAGGCTGCTGCAGAGTTGCAAAAGGCCAAGAGAAAGCGAATTGCGGGGTTGGATTGTAGGAGAGTTAACTTGGGGAAGCGCGTCGAGAAAGAGAGGTTCTCAAGGTGGAGTCTCTCAGCTCTGGAGCATCACTCCCAGTCTGACACCAAACAAAATCTCATAACATCATATTGCAGCCATAAATACATTGCACTAACAAACCAAAAAAAAGGTGGCTCAAATCACATGACTCGCACAGCAGGCCCCTCCAACTCCGCTCAACCCTCCTCCTCGCTTAGGGCCCGTTGCACGCCCAAGCTCCACAACCAGCTCGCCTCGTCCATCTCTTCCTCCTGGCGTAACAGAGTCTGCAGGTCAAACAGCTGCATATGCTGGGCAGACTCAGGCTCGGCTTGCGCGGGTTCCGAGACAGAGGGTTCACGTTCCGGAAGATGAAGGACTGGGATCCTGTTCTCGCGGTCTGCTGGGCTGAGGGGTAGCGCAGGGGGGGTTGGTTGCTGGTCCAGTTCCTCCAATTCCAACTCCTCGGCACCCACAGGGACCGGTCCTACCGCCTCCGCCACCGCCGCCTCCAGGCTAGTCTCAAGTCGTTCCAACGCCGTCGTCAGCGCCTGATGCGCCATCCTCAGGTCCCCCCAGGTGACTGCTCTGTCCAACAGATGCGTTTGCTCTCGCTCGGAGTGGGCTTGCTCGAGCTCTTCGTCTAGGGAACGTGAGAGTTGTCGTTCGGAGACCCAGGGTGGGGAGAGGAGGATGATAGGTTGGGAGGAGCTGCGGGAGGGAGGGGATATTGGTGTAGGTTGGGTCCTTTGGTTGAGCGAAGGGGACGACCGTGCGTTTGAGCGGGAAAACGCTGCTGTTGCTTCTGGGGACGTACTAGGTGCTGCAGATGTGGCCGCATCCCGCGGAAGAGAGTTCCGGATCGTGCTAGGCGCGTTTGTCGGGTTCGGAGCTGGGTCAGGCAGGGAGAGGGCCACCGACTGGGGTGTCATGTCGCGACGGAGTGAGACGGGATTAGGGGGAACGGAGGAAGATGGAGAGGGGGATAGCACGAGAGGAGACAAAGTGAGTGCCGGTACAGGGCTCAAAGGCGGGAGAGTAGGGCGCCTCTCCACCTCCCTTTCTCTTTCCCGTCCTCTTTCCCTCCCGCTTTCTCTCTCTATCGCGCTCATCCGCTCGACATAGTTCAGCATCCAGCGAATCTGCCTCGTCCGGTCCCAGCCTTCGGTGTGCTCTTCCTCAGGATCAGGTTCTGGGCCAGTGGGCTCGGGCGTACAACCCGCCAGGTCGCGTTCTTGATCTTGAGAGGAAGGGTAGGCCCCAGCTTCCCCATTAGGGTCAAAGACGAACCAATTCCCGCCTGAACGGGGCGAAGGGGGCGGGGTGGCGAACCCTTCTAGTTCTGGCTCGGGAGGGGAGGGGGAAGGAGGGAGACGGTAGGTGAGCGGTGGGAGGAGGGGAGAGGTGGAGAGGAAGACGCGCGAAGGGAGGAAACGGTAGCGCGCTTTGTACGTTGGGGAATTACGCAGGGAGTGAAGCTTGCAGAGATGGGTCGTGTGCGTGCCTATGTGTGTCCCGCTGCGTACAAGAGTTCATTAGCGCCTCTTTTGCGAGAGGATAAGGGAAGACAAAACAGGGAAGAATGCTCACCAGGTGGTACATGCCAGCAGGCTCACTTCGCACCCACAACCCATCCTCTTCCGTCTCTTCATCTCTCCGACCAGCCTCTCTGGTCCCCTTCCCTTTCCTTCACCTGCAACCCAAACTCCCTCCTCCTCCCTAACCTGGGAATGTACCAGTCCTCCACACCCTCGGACAGGGTGTGGTTCGCCCCTCCCTCCGCTGGGAAGGCGCTCTCCAGCTGCCCAGCCACGTCCACATAGAATAGATACCGTAGAACCAGGAACATCTTCCTCCGAACTGGCGGAATCGATGCTCGGTAAGCTCAGTCTGATCGCCCCTCGGCGGCGCAGTCGTGCGTTCGACCCAGTGAGCAATGAGGCGCGGAACAGCAGCTCGTCGTCTTCTTCCTCGCCGCTAGTAGAATCTACCCGCGGGCGCTGGGGTGGCGTGCGTGGCACAGGAGGGATAGAAAGAGGGAGCGAGCGAGTACGGGTGCGATCGCCTGCGTTCAGGGAGCGAGGCGCCCGCTGCAGGACCTGGATAGGCCGCAGCTCAAGCATCGGTTCTTGTGTCGAACCGCGGAGAGGGCCTGCACTCGCGGTACGTAAGAGACGCCGGAAGATATCCTGCTCTCGTTCGGTTTGTTCGCCCTCTTCCTCTATGTCATCTTCTTCTTCCCGTTCATCATCTCTGTCGTCCACAGCTTGCGGCGCTTCCGAGTTGAACTGCTGTGTCCTCTGTAGATGGTAGGGTAAAGGAGCAGGAAAGCGTACTCTCAATGCCTGTGAGTCTTGACCTGTTGTGTTAGAGGATGTTGACTGAGCAGGGTATGGAGGATACCACAAGTTGAGGGAAGGTGGTCTTCGTTGTTGTTGGCGTAACTCTGCGGGCATTTAAGGATGATGGTGGTTGGGAAGAGAGGAGTGAAAGTGATGTGTATGTGCGGTGCTGATGACTTTGATGGATAAACACGTGGCGTGCTGCAGACCAACAACGACAAGAATCAGAAAATGCTTATTGCCCAATGCGGAGAAACGACGCCGAATATGACGCCCATTTTGACTCCGTCGACAGTTACCTTTTAAGGAAATCAACTCCTCTCTTTAGCCTCCGCTGATCTCTCTTTGCTGTCCTCTTCCCGACTTTCTCCACCCGCCCAGTCCTCGTTCCTTTTTAAACCGTCCACTCGGTCATCGTCCTCCCGCTCTCTCTTGCTGCTCCCCCTTCCCACGACCATGATGTTCTCCTCCCTCTCCAGGTTCGCTCCGGTAGCTGCCCGTGGCGCACGCGGGTTCGCTTCCTCCAGCGCAAGGCACCACAAGGTCGCCGTCCTCGGTGCAGGCGGTACGTCCCTCATTTCATGTATATCACACACTCTTGGGCGCATGCTGACCACTCGGCGTAGGTGGGATCGGACAGCCTCTCTCCCTTCTCCTCAAGTTGGACCCCCTCGTCACCCAGCTCTCTCTGTACGATATCCGCGGTGCTCCCGGTGTCGGCGCCGACATTTCTCATATCGACACTGCCTCGAACGTCAAGGGGTACCCTGCTGACCAGCTCGAGGTTGCGCTCGACGGTGCGGAGGTCGTCATCATCCCCGCTGGTGTTCCTCGCAAGGTGTGTTCTCTCCTCCCCCATGATCCCAGCATGTATGCTAACTATATGCGCTAGCCCGGCGTGAGCTTCTTCGTTCTGTGATAACCTCGTCTCCCTAATATGCCCTAGATGACCCGTGACGATCTCTTCAACACCAACGCCTCCATCGTCCGGGACCTCTCCAAGGCCTGCGCCAAGGTCTGCCCGGACGCACACATGCTGATCATCTCCAACCCGGTGAACAGCACCGTGCCGATCGTCGCGTCCACCTACGGCTCAAAGTTCAACCCCAACAGGTTGTTCGGTGTCACCACGCTCGACGTTGTGCGCTCCTCTCGTTTCCTGGGTGAGATCACCGGTGAGAAGCCGGAGGATATCCGCGTTACGGTCATTGGTGGCCACTCTGGTGTCACGATCGTTCCTCTGCTCTCCCAGACGCCCCAGGCCCAGAAGCTCCAGTTCGGAGGCGCAGAATGGAGCAACCTCGTTCACCGTATCCAGTTCGGTGGTGATGAGGTCGTCAAGGCCAAGGACGGTGCTGGGTCCGCTACCCTGTCGATGGCTTACGGTGCGTCCCAGCTTATCAGAGCGCCCTTCCACTACAGAAACTGACGTGCCTTCCCTGTCTGTGTGTTCAGCTGGTGCCAAGTTCTCCAACCAGCTCCTCCGCGCGCTTAACGGCGAGAAGGGCATCATCGCTCCCTCATTCGTCCGCTCCCCGTTGTTCGAGTCCGAGGGCGTTGAGTTCTTCAGCAGCAACATCGAGCTCGGCGTGCGTGCATTTCCCTTCCCCATCCTTTTTTTATTAACGTATTCCACACAGACCGGCGGTGTAGAGAAGATCCACCAGGTAGGCGCGCTCGCTCCCGAAGAACAGAAGCTCGTCGACGCCTGCATCCCCGAGCTCATCAAGAACATCAAGAAAGGCCAGGAGTTTGTCGCTTCTTCCTAAGCACACTCCTTGCCTTGTCCTGTGAAGGGCGACCCGCTTGGCTCTTGCGTTTCTCTCTTGCCGGAGGAGTCGGGCGGAAAATTCTGTTGTCACGTTTTGTGCAGTAACCTTCTTGAAAATACATCTATTTCGGGGCAGTGCGAGGTCCTGTTTGTTGTTCAAGTGCTCTCACTTGCGACCTGCCTGAGGTGGGGAGCCTTGGGGATGTGCTAGTGTGGGTTGAGACCAAACCCGGCAAACCGCGCCGATATCTCATGTCCGATAACTCGCTCCGGACTCGCCCGAACTCATACGTCATACCACACCTCCCAGTGCTCGGTCGTGCTGTAAAGAAAGCCGACTCCTGCACAGGTGCAACAATGGACTGAATAATGCACCTGCAGAGCAGCGTGGGGTCGTCGGCCCGCGAAGGGGTTTGTCGGGTCTGCTTCCCCACCTGGTGCCGGTGGAAATATTGTCGGACGTGGGGAAAGCGAGGGAGTGATCCCCTTTCAGCGTGTGCTTGTGCTTGTGCTGTGCTGTGCGGCATGTATGCTTGCCGTTCCTGCGACTGACCCAAGAGAGAAATGGAGTTCGGGCAGAAAAGAGATACATAGCTTGTCTCTTTTACCAAACCTTGATTTTACATCTTAAGAAACCTACTTGAGTTCCGTATTCAACAAACGATCGCTCTTCCCTCCGCATCAGAACTGCGTCTCCGCAACACGATACACCAGTTTCTCCCCTGACACTCTATGCTCTCTCCCCAGCTTCAGCCCCTCATTCGCTCCCAACAGACCTCCAGGAACGACCCTAACCGGATTAGGGACAAACGTTCCCCTCTCGAGCAAGTACTCAAGCAACGCATACACCCTCTTCCCCACTTCGGGGTAGAGCTCTGCTTGTTTCGCCCCGGTGTGGAGGACCTTGACTGTTGATGTACTCTGCTCAGGTTTGGGAGTGAGGATGACTGCTACTACCCCCGTCCCCGTGGTGGTGATGCTCCCTACGGAAGCCTCGATCGAGCCGTGTTCGGAGATACAGTCGTAGACTTTTGAGAGGTTGGCTCCCGCTGCGGTGTGGATCTTGCTCACCACGTCCGCTGAGGTAGGTTAGTAGGTTAGTGCATCTGTTTGGGTAGGCAGTTGGGGCGAGGGGGACGTACGATCGTGGTAGTCGAACACTTCTGACGCGCCGAGGGACTTGATATATGCGTGATTCTTTGGCGAGGCGGTGGAGAGCACTGTGTATCCCGCCGCTTTAGCCAGCTGGATCACTGTTCCTCGTTTCAGCATCATCTACTCCCTAAAGCATCGAACGCACCATAAGCCCCCACAGAGCTCGCTGCGCCCCAAACGAGCAGCGGCTCTTCCTTGCTCTCCACCGGCAGGTGAGGCGGCACCGGCAGCTTCACCCCCAGGGCATGCTCCAGCCCCGCACCGGCCGTCACGTACGCCAGGGGGATCGTACTCCCCTGCTCGAAGGAGTATGTTTCGGGCAGACGGACAGTTCGGGAGGAGGCGGCGATGCTGTATGTTTGGTAGGCGCCGTGACGCGCTGTTTTCCGCTCGAGGAAGGAGATGACCTTCCGACCCCGGGGCTCGTCAGCACCGGTCGTTGATCAGAGGGATGGATGGATGGAGGGAAACGTACCCGATCACCAAGTTTGAAATTCTCTACACCAGGACCAAGCTTGTACACCGTCCCCGCAACGTCCCCCCCATTCGTCCATGGCAAGCTGAGTATGCCGATATCGTAGTCGATCTGTTTCCAATCGACCGGGTTCTGAGCGATGGCGACGTTCTGTATGAGGAGCTCGCCGGGGCCTAGTTCGGGCTCGGGGAAGGGGAGGAGGGTGAGAGGAGTCGTCTGCTTGTGCGAGGTGATGGAGAGCGCGATGAAGGGAAGAGACATGCTGTGGTTTGGTGGAGGGGAGATATGCATATAGTTCGCGCTATTTATATACCGTCGCGCAAGTGCGAGCACATGCATTGTCGATAGATGGCGACATCATCCTAATCTGATTCCAATCAGCCGCCATATTAATAATATGCATCCATCCCAACGCGAAGAAGGATAACAGTATTAATTTAATGAGTCAGTTGGAAGTATTCCCACGCACGACCCAGTGTAGGATTATTAGTAAGGGGACCGGTAAGGACAAGGGCGCCGGCGATTAAGTTCAGGACGGCAATATACCCGGTTGGGTACATGATATTGGATTGCTGGATGCTAGGACCCCTATATAAGCCCTATCTCACTGTCACAACAGCACTTTTTACTCCAGCTTCGCCTGTATCAAGTTACACCAAAAACCTGGCTCAACCAATATTCTTCCCCTCCCATTGTATACCAATGGAGATGAGCTCACTGAGCGAGCTCTAAGGTATGCATAACGAAGACGGCTGGTAATCCTGCATTGTTTGTCGCTTGTGCCACTCCAAATTGTCGCACGCACGCGGTACGGCGACACAGGCTTCAACTCAAATCTCTATCGCCTTCGAGATTTTCTTTGTGCGGCAACTTCCCACATGGAAGCAGTCTCTTTGTGAATGTTGCTATGGACGCGGGCCGTGACCTCCTCTTGTTCAACCACGTCCTCATACCCTCTGACATCTGCTTTGGCTTCTTACTGTCTGAAAAGCCGAGACAGACAGCTGGGACATCGCCGTTTGGACATTGTACTTACTTGAAAGGTGAGAGTATCCTCAATGGGTATTGTGATCGTGAGTCATAGCAGCTGAAAAGAGTTTGAGGGCTTCCTCCACCCGACCAATCCAGAGTAATGGGCACACAAGAACTCCAAACGGCCGGTTCGACGTCGCGTTCTTCTATCGTGAGCATGGCACTGTATGTAATGTTGGTTTGCTCATCCTTGAACTAGCTTAATGCCAACCTCGTGGAGTATCTGCGCCGACGACCTGCGCTATCTGGGAAAGACCTGCACCTTTCCACGCACACCGCGCCTGACGAAGTGCCTAGCATCGCCAAGACAATGAAAGCTGCTCTGCCCTCATTCCCCGAGGGTCTGTTGTCAGCACCTTCCATGCACACCACAATAGACTCCATCTCAAGTAGTTGGAATCTCTTGCAGTGTGCGTGGAAGCTGCCGATGACAGACCTTTGGGGAACGAGGGCAGAGCGGCTTTCATCATCCTGGCGATGTTAGGCGCTTCGTCAGGTACAAGCCTACGAAACAATCTGCAAAGCGCACTATGGATCATTCACCGCTCCCGGAAGATATTGAAACTACCCATGACCACAATGCACGAATCAAGAAAAGACCACGGTTGGAGGAAAATAGTATGATACTAAATGATACACTGTCAGGGGGATCAAAACCTTCTGGAGCCAAGCTTGCCCTCGACGTCGGTGTAGACAGTCACACGGGTGAGGACCATTCTCTTCCTATGATAATTGATAATGACGAGGAAACACTACAAGAGGTACTGTCTCCAGGACGGCACTCTGGTATGGACGGGTCGAGTATGCACGCACATATATCAAAGTCGCACGAGGCTTCCCAGTCTGGGATTACTGAAACCAACCGTGATGAAAAGGATCGTTCGCTTCTTTCCGACACAGAATCTGCCGATGCACTGGACATACTCGCAAACTGGCTCGAGAAGTCACCGTTTCAAGCGCTAGCAGACGTGCGAAAACTATCACGGTTGTTGCGACCAACGCCAGTAGGCACTTGGATGCTTTTGTTGTTCCGTGACTGATTCCTTGAAGGCGCCACATATGGCTGAGACCGTAGACGTGACCAACGAGCTCATGGAACCAACTCTTCCACCTGCCACTATGGCTGGGTCATCAGCAACCCCTCATGAGGCGATTTTCCCACGACAACCGGCCATCGCGATCCAACGTGCTCATGCGATGACCACTATATCCACCATGGATACAGGCCGAGCATCGAACAATATCCATGATGCCTTCCGGGTGCCGCTCAATCACCCGTCGATGGGAAAACAGTTGTCTGTTTCAGTACATCGACCTATCAAAACGCTGCTCGCCAATTCGGACATGCCCATTGAAGCCATATTTTCCCATGGGTGGAAGATTGTACCGCGCGAGAGATATTACCTCCGCTTCACTCCCCACTTGTTCTCTTTGTTGAATCCCAGAAAGGAGTCTGTTGCGCAGGGTTTGTACATCAAATTCAAAGCGATCCAGGTAACATCCACGGTTTGGCGTACGTTGAACACACGATTGACACGTCACGCAGCTCAATCAATACTGCAACGATCCGGTGATGTGCATCCTTCAGGGATCGCCTGCGTCACCCGATTTCTTTGACAAAGCTCGAGCGCATTTCTTGGCGCAGTCCCCCCATTCAGGTATCCCACATTGTAATAAACATGCTGGTACCTGGCTGATGTGAAATGGTAGGTTCAGATGAGCAAGAAATATGTTTGAGATTGGTAGCTGCCAATGACGACCGGAGTTTGGTGTGGAATCAGTTGTCAAAGATCCTAAAAAGGGTCAATGGAAATCGGAAGATGAAATGGATCCAGTAATCAGTTTTCCTCTGTGCATGAATGTCCCTGATCATTTCTGGAAGATTTTCCGCTGCCCAGGATATTTTGAGGCGTTACGAAAGCACATGTCAGCTCATGGAATTTGATCCTGCTGCCATCAGAGCTCCGGATCTCACCACAACGGCACCGGTGCAGGTAGACACGCTTCAAAACCGCATTTCCAGGTGAGTTCCTTTGGTTCCGTCTGCACACTGGGTTCATTTCTCATCGGTAACAGTGTTGCCGTGCCTTGTCGCCCCTTAGTCATACCTATAACCATCCCATCTGATGCCCTGCCAAAGCCGACAATGCGAAGTACCTTCGGCCCTCAATCCCTTGAAATCCCGAGAAGAACAGTGCAAACACACAACGTCGTGACTACACCATCAACTTCTGGACTAGTTCGCGAGACACGCTCAGCGACTCGAAGTAAAGAGGTGAAGGAAGCATCCGAGGTATGTGCAGCATAATGTTGAGCTCTTCTATTTGACACCAGGTTCAGGCTCCTCAAAAACAGTCTCCAAGCCCGGATGCAAATGACCTGTGAGTCGTCTCAGAGATTCTTGTGTGATAATCTGGTAACGTGATACAGGATGCTGGTATGGCCACAGGACTCAAAGATAGGCGCGGTACACATCACATACGCCGACGTTAAGCGTCTGGAACCCCAAGAATTCCTCAATGATACGCTCATTGAGTTCGGACTCAAGTAAGCCGACATCATATGCACACCAAATCTGTTTCTCACGCAAAAGTAGGTTTTGGTTCAAGCAGTTCAGTGATCACAATCCGCAAGCCGCACAGGAAGTCCATATGTTCAACACGTTTTTCTACCAGAAAATCAGCGTGAAGGAGTGCGTGTGTCCTGCTGGTTCACAAGAGCTCGCTGACGTGATCCCAGTTTCACGGAGGGATATGAAAGTGTGCGGAAGTGGACCAGCAAGGTTGATATTTTCGAGAAAAAATACATCATCGTACCAATCAATGAGCAGTACGTATCTGTTCTGTTTTAATTCCAATGTGCTCATCTCTCTAGCTTACATTGGTATCTCGCGACCATCTGCAATCCCAAGGGTATTTTGCGTCCACGTCCACCAGCATGTCCGCAACCACACCGAAGATCTGCGAGGCTGAGTTTGGGAACGCAAGTGTCAGATTTGGGAGGTATGGTCACTCCCCAGTCGAACATATCCAGTCGTACCGAAGAGGACGAAGGTGAAGCTGAACATTTGGCCGCATTTCCGAAGGACGGAAATGATGGTGTCACCATGAGTAATGGCGACGACCCTGCGTGTCCGGAGACTGTCAATCAAACGATCGAAACAATCAGTGTCGTTGATCCCGATGACATGGACATTGATCGTGTTGGGGACGGTGACGATGGTTCTGTATTCCGAGGATGGTCCCCAGAACCCGGTGACGCAAGCAGACCTACATCGCGCTTAGCGGCCAAGACCAACATTCCATTTCTGGCCGACGTTGCGACTCATTCGAGTCAATTCTCGGACGACAAGTAAGAGGATTGTTCCTTGATCCGGTCCTTGCTGATGTTTGGAAGGACTTATATATTCACCTTTGACTCTCTTGGTGGCTCTCATAAAACCACGTGCCGACAGCTGTCCAAGTATTTGATCGCAGAGGCGAGAGAAGAGAAGAACTGGACGAATGCCAGGGAAGCCACGGGTGAGACGGCCAAAGTCTGTAACATTCGGTAAATTCCGTTCCGATATCTGATACTCTTCAACATCAGGTCCCTTATCAACAGAACTTCTGTGGCTCTGCTTTGTTCGTTCTCCACTTCGTCGACAAGTTCATGCAAGATCCGGAGAAGTTCATCCAGACCTTTCTCGTGGGCTGTCCTTACGTGCACCTCAATACAATGTTTCTAACTCGATTCTAGAAGAAAGAGAAAATGACAAAAGAGTCTTTGGACGCCCTCTGGGGCACGGAAGACGTGTCGGAAAAGCGAAATCTTATGAAAGCCACTATTCAGTCTCTCGCTGATGATTGGAACAAGAGGAAGCGGGCAGAGGCGGCGGAGGAGCGAAGAGCCAAGGAAGCATCCCTTGCACCCTTCCTTGAAGATACATTCCAGGGGACCAACGTTTCCAGCGAAGAAGATGGGGAATAACCCTTCGAGCGCAGAAGAGGATGATGGGGAAATCGTCGAAATCAAATGGGGTCAGCGGTGGGAAGGGGGGGCAAAAAACCCTCCGCATGCAAAGGCAAAGAACGGATGAGCGTGTCGCAGGAAGGCTCGCAAGATGAGCAGATTTTAAGAGCCCCTGGATCAGTAACGCGGCGTTCGGAGAGACAGCATTTAGGCATGACACCAACATCGAGGCACCAGACGTTCAGGGCAGGATGGAGAGCAGATCGTCTCAAGAAACGATCTCGCCCTTCTGGGGCGTGAAAGAATGGTATGCGACTAACGGTTCCCTTGAACTTCTCCTGCCTAGTCTTTCATGAGGTCGAAAGCTCGAACGATGTGATCCGTAATGGGTATCGTTAGTGGTTTGAGCAGACATATGACAATTTCATTCATTATTATACAGAACAGATCCTCTTTATAGCCGTCCCTGCCTCTCATACCCAGACATTACTTATTCGGCAAGCTCATACCCTGCGCATTGTACCTCGTTCCCACGACAGTAAACGAATCCAACACCTTCCTAATCTCCCCAAGTTCCTCCTGTGTCAAGCTCACCCTTGCGCTCCCGATATTCTCTTCCAATGCTTCAGCACGCGTCGTACCGGGGATGGGGATGATTCCGTCCCACTGAGCGAGTACCCAGGCGAGCGCGAGCTGGCCGGGTGTGCAACGTTTATGAGATGCGAAAGCGGAGAGCTGGTCGACGAGCTCGATGTTCTACAAACCAATAAGTTGAATGACTGGGAGGAGGGGGAAGAGAGGGCTAACCTTGGGGAAGTTCTCCTCGCTGAAACGAGGCGCGTCGAGCCTCCAGTCACCAGCCGGGAGGTCAGAGCGTTTCCTGAACTTGCCACTGCAAGGACGGTGAGTGCAATCCGGGAGTGCACGATAAAGGTGAGATACACACCTGAGCATCTCCCTTCCCAAAGGAGAGTACGCGACGAGAGTGATCCCCAGCTCCTTACACGCTTCCAGAATACCGTTATGCTCCACGCTCGTCTCCCAGAGTGAGTACTCCCACTGCACAGCGTCGATCTTCGCGACTTTAGCTGCGCGCCTAAGTGTCTCAGCAGAACATTCCGAGAGCCCAATGTGCCTGCATCCGGAGTCAGTCTATTCCTTCACCATAGGAAAGGAACGCACTTGATCTTGCCAGCATCTTTCAGCTCCTGCATAGCGCGAACTGTGTCTTCGATCGGGACTTTGGGGTCGACACGGTGCTGGTAGTAGAGGTCGACATAGTCCACCTCCAGGTCTTTGAGGGAGCGCTCGATAGCGGACTTGACGTACTCAGGATCACCACGCACACCTCCGGGAGCAGGGAGGAGTCCGAACTTTGTGCCTAAGCTCAATCAGCATGACAGGCACTGGAACATGAGTAGATGAAGAACACACATAGGAAGATATCCTTCCTCGGGATCTGGAGCGCTTTCATAGCCTTTGCGAATAAGCGTTCATTCTGTCCCAACCCAGAACGAGAATAGATATCCGCTGTATCCCACATCTTGCGTCCCTAGTCGTAGGCAAGCTTGAATACCGGAATGAAGTCCTCGTCTGTCTTGTCGGTGTGGTAGAAGGCCTGTTTGGGGTGAGCATGTCTATGTGAGTTGAGTGCGGGTGGCGGACGTACAGACATTCCCATTAGACCCCATCCGGGGATGGGAACAGTGTCAGTGCCGATCTTGCGAGTGGGTAGAGCCATCGTCCTTTTCTTGTTTTGGTTGGTGTCGAAGGGAGAGTTATTGACGTCCGTTCCTTGCAGCGGATGGTCCTCTTAAGTAGTCCAGGAGCATCGGCCTTAACGGCCTCGCATCTACACTTCTCCCGGCCATGCCGGCCATCTTGCAAGGTTTCATTCCATATCAGGAAGGTATTGTCTCATTCACAACGTCATGAGTTGTATGGGCAAAAGCAGGTTGTGTCATCAATTGCTATCGGGGATAAGGTTCATCAGGGTTCAATAATGTCGGGGATAAATCCCTGTGATTTAGTAGGAATGATTTTGTAGGAACGTTATGTATAGAAGGCCGATAGCATCGGTTAGCAGGTCATTTACTCCCTCGGCAAGGAAGACCTTTGGGTGAAAAGTGCACCACAAACCACGCACAAGTCTCAAATAATGGGAATTCACTGGCGTGGATTCACTCTGAAGGAATAGATCCCATTGACTGGTGCGGTATACGACGTGATACTGTACGTCCGATCTCTCTTCGTCTACGCATTCGAATTACTCAACATCTCCGCATCATACCTGTTCCCCGCGACAGGAAACGAGTCCAGCACTTTCCTGATCTCTTCCAGCTCCTCAGCCGTCAATGTCACGGTTGCAGCTCCGATATTCTCCTCCAAGGCGGCAACGCGCGTCGTACCAGGGATAACGAGTATCCCTTCCCATTGAGCAAGCACCCAGGCAAGGCCAAGCTGGCTCGGGTTCAGCCTTTGCGTGCTGCGAAAGTGGAGAGCTGATCGACGAGTTGTATGTTTTGCCCGACCATGGGTGAGCAGGTGCGAAGTGCCGGATGGGAGTGTATACATACCTTTGGGAAGTTCTCCTCGCTGAATCGGGGTAGACCGAGTCTCACATCATCCGCTGCCAAATCAGAGCGCTGCCTGAACTTCCCGCTGAAGAACGACATGAGCTTGATTCCGACAACTTTCGGTACCAGGCCGACCTTAGCATCCCCCTCCCCAACGGAGAATAAGCAACAAGCGCGATGCCCAACTCTTTGCAGGCGTCTAGCACTCCGTTCGTCTCGATACTCGTCTCCCAAAGGGAGTACTCCCACTGCACTGCGTCGATCTTGGCAACCTTGGATGCACGCCTCAGCGTCTCGGCAGAACACTCCGACAGGCCGATGTACCTGCCCAACCAACCAGGTGTCAGATTCAATCTCGACTCAGTAAGGGAAGGGACCGACCTAATCTTTCCCGCATCCTTTAGCTCCTGCATGGCGCGAACTGTATCCTCGATTGGTGTATTCGGGTCGACACGATGCAGATAATAGAGGTCGACGTAGACCATCTCCAGGTTTGAGCGAGCGCTCAATAGCGGACTTGACGTACTCCGGATCGCCACGGATGCCGGTCAATCCGGGGAGCCAACCAAACTTCGTACCTATACTCCGAGCCACATTAGCTATGCATTGTTGAGAGAAAGATAATAAGACGCACATAGGAAGATGTCCTTCCTCGGGATCTTCAGCTCCCTCATGGCCTTGGCGACTAAGCGCTCATTCTGCCCCAGACTTTCACGTGAATAAATGTCCGCTGTGTCCCACATCCGGCAGCCTGCATCATAGGCGACCTTGAACACAGGGACAAAGTCATCTTCAGTCTTGTCGGTGGCGTAGAAGGCCTGCAATCCGGGGAGCTAAGTTGGTGCATAGGAGTGGGTGGGGAGGCAGATTTACGGAGAAGCCCATCAGTCCCCAGCCGGGAACTGGAACGCTGGTATTGCCAATCTTGCGCATGGGGAGAGACACGATGTTGTTTTAGGTAGAGTTGGGTCATTTGTGCGGCTGGGTTGTGCCGTGATGTTTGGGATAGACAGGTTGACCTGCCTTATATACGTTTGCTCGCTCGGCGTAGGCGCACATCATTATTGTGCCCGGAGAGAACCTGGAGTTGAAAGTATTGTTACACATTGGGCAAGAACACCGTACAGCTGCACTTACTGACCTGTCGAGTCGTCGATTAGGGGAGAATAGATAACGTGGCGTGGATTGGCCTGCCGCAGGCCAATCCGTCCCTCTATACATATAGGCTACATAGATAGTCTAATGGAATCAAATTCCGGTGCCTTAAGGCTGCGCAAGGGTCCTGCACTGCCACTCTTGGCGCAAACTCGACACCATCCCCTCTCTAGCTCTTGAGCATCGACCACGATGCTGCTGCAGGGCAATCTGTGCCATCCAGCCCCTTGCTTCACTCCTTCCTCACTGTCAACTACTGTCAACCATTCTGAGGCGTCCTGGAGATGATTCTGGCTGGTTTCTGGGCTGATCTGAGCTGTTCTTGGGCTGGATGGATGGGTTTTTGTGATTTTGAGACGGAATTTGCTTTCTGGCTCTGCTCTGTGTCTGTCGTCTGCCGGGATTGCTTCGAGTTTTGGTGCGTCCTGGTAAGGCTGGTGTGTACTGCATTCTGGACCTCCATCTGGAGGACTGGACATGCATATGCAATCAGTGGACCACCT